ACACAGGTTCAACAACACAACTTCCAACTGCCTCCATTGTATGAGATCAAGTAAATGCATTCGCAGGTCTGCGTGTGGCCCTTTACCAGATGCTTCCGGACTGGACAAAAAGGAATCGGGTTATTCCTAGCATTTGCTTTGCATTGTAATTAGAGGATGGTCATTTTGTGACTTTTTCTTGATGGAAACAGACCTTCGGAGTTCAAATGCAGTCTCAGGGTGGCTGTTGCCCTCCCGGCAAGAGGAGCTATGGCAACAGGAACTGTGTGTGCACACGCACGTGTGTTCACGCCTACATGTGTCTTATCAGCATACTTATCAGCGTGCATACATAGGAGTGTGCATGCACGCAGGCGGTGTAGGTGTTCATGTGCTTGTGTGCAGGCAAGTATAAATCCCTGAGCTTTGTCACATGCACTTTTCTGTTAGATTTCATGATAAAGTTTACTTTATAAAAGTTTACTAATTCGGGACACCTGGGTGGCTCAGTGTATGCGTGTGTATATGTGTGTATGTGTGTGAGTGTAGGGCGCGTCAGATTAGTAGAAACTTCCCCACAGAGTGAAAAGCAATATTGATGAGAGGACACCAGTAACTCTTTACATCCACGTAAATTTAGAGAAAGTACTTTTCTCTACAACGTTTGTGCAAAAGCACACTTTCACCCGCCCACATCCTCACGCACATGCACACGTGCACACTGGTGCAAAGAGAAACACTTGTGGCCCTGTCACTACCTAGATCTTTTGAACCAGGAGCCAGGAAGCCCCTCTCCTGACAAGCCACTTGTGGCGGGCAGGGTAGTGGGAGGAGAGGGAAGCCGCAGCCCCGGGCAGGAGAGAGGACGGAGGCCAGGCTGTGGGGTGTCGGGCTGGCTCTATGGAGGAGCCACGTGCTCCGGGCCTGCGCAGGTGGAAGGCAGGTGCTCCCCAAGCCAGCCCGTCGGCATGAGGGCCCCCAAGCCAGCCTGCAGACAACCCCTCCGCGGCCCTCCTTCCTCTGCTGTGGGGGCTGCACCCTGGTCCCTCTGTCCTGGGGTTCGGTTCCCCTCCCACCCTGACTGTGGTGAGGGCTCGCCTTTCCAGGGAGCCTCAGGCTTCCGGATCAGAAACACACGGTGGTGATAATACCCATTTCATAAAATTAGGATGGGGATCCCTGGGTGGCTCAGTGGTTTAGCACCGCCTTCCGCCCAGGGTGTGATCCTGGAGCCCTGGGATCGAGTCCCGCGTCGGGCTCCCTGCATGAAGCCTGCCTCTCCCTCTGCCTGTGTCTCTGCCTCTCTCTTTCCGTGTCTCTCATAAATAAGTAAAATATTTTTTAAAAAATTAGGATAAGCAGATGAGGTTCAAAATGCACAAAATCCTTAGCGCAGGGCCCGGCACAAGATGTTATTAAAAACAATGATATTCATTAAAAAAAAAAAAAAAAACACGTGGCTGTGTGCTCTGCAAGAAAAATGCATCACGAACAGTTCAGTCTCGGAACCACGAATTCTCGCAAGGTCAGAAAATGCTGGAAAAGACCCATGGCCTCTTCCGTCCACCCGTCCACCCGTCCACCCGTCCACCCGTCCACCCGATGCAGAGGAGCGCAGGACGCACAGGAGCACAGGACGGCCACGGCGGGCTCGCGCCCAGGCCCGCAAAGGTGAGGCTCTTCCACCACCTGGTGGACGCCCGGGGATGGCAGGTGCGCCGCGGGCCGTCGCTGCCCCGAGGCCGGCTCGGGAGCCTCCTCTACCGGCCGCGCCGCAGGCTCGCTCCGTGGGCCCAACGGCCTCGGGGCTGCAGAGGGGCTGGGGTCCCCCGGTTCTCTCTTCCTGACCCGAGCCCTCTCAAAAGCCATCACCGACTGTGCGCCGTGAGCAGGGGGGTCAGGGAGGCACCAAGCCGGTGGGACCCGGGGTAACATCGAGTCCAGTGGGCTCCTGTGAACAGTCCCTTTGGGCCTGACCCGATCACTTGATATGACAGCCCTTGGCGTTGTCCTCACCCGGTCCAGGATGCTGTTTGGGAAGGGGCGGGGCTCCGTGACCTCCTGGGATGGTGCCCCCCACCCCAGACAGTCCCCGGATTTCCCTTTCGGTGGTGAGGTCTGCGGGTGCCCTGCCTGGGCCAGGGGATCCCCTGGGTCTCTCCACCGGTCCCCACCCGCTGCTGGGCAGGCCGACCTTCCGCACCGACGTGAAGGGTCGCCCCCTCCGCTTTCAGCTCTGAGCAGAGTGCGCTGCAGCCAGGCTGCTGCCACTGCCGTGCATGGGCCAGCTTGGCCCAGAACAAAATCCTCCAGGAGGGGGTGGGGCCCAGCCTTGACCATCAGGGGGCCCCTGGACCCAAGGCCTCCTGGCTCTGTGCAGGGCCCAGGTGGGTGGGCTTCTCTTGTGGCCCCTCCAAAGATCCCTCCCTCTCCTTCCCTGTAGGCCTCCAGTCTCCACCTCTGACAAGACGGGACGTCTCATCCACAGGCAAGAAGACATGCCACCCTGCCATCAGGCCCTGGAGGGTTCTAATCTTGGAAGGTTCTAACTTTGGAAGGTTAAAAATGGTCAAAGGAATCTTTTTAAAGTCCTTTCTTTCTCCACAATGCCTAGATTTCAAGCCTTTCCTCTTGCTGTAAAATCCAATTTTGAACGCCAGAAATGAGCCATTAGCTTTTGTTTTCTTAGGGTCCCTCCCTCCCCTCCCCCACCCCCAGACTGATGGGAGCTAGAGAAGCAGCTGCCCAGCTGCTCTCCACACCCACTTCCTCCTCCTCCCTGCAGGGACCACCCATCCTGGCCTCCCTTGCTTGCCGGGTGTGTCGAGTCCCGAGTCCCCAGACAGTGGCCTGTGAGTGAGCAGAATGTGGGCCTCTGCAAGCCTGTCTCAGGCAGAGCCGACGTAGAAGGAGCCTGGGTCCCTGAGTGACTGCGTGGAGGCCCCCACTCCACCCGGCAGGAGCACCCCTTTGGACCTCCCAGGAGTCCCAGCTAAGCATCTATGGTGCGAAGCCCCTGAGATGTTGAGGGGTTTCAGTGAGGGCTGTGAGCTTTCTGCTAAGGAGCACGTCATTTGGGTATAAAAGCAAAATAGAAAAACACATTGGTATTTTCCAAACTGTGTCTCCTATTTAGAGGAAAAAATAAGATAGAACCAGATATCTGATGGCTCATTCTCCTCTGCCTGACTGGAGACTGCTGAGACTCCTCCAGGCCTCAGGAGGACTCTCTCCCCTCCATCTCTCCTGCCCATGGCACCATCCACAGCTTGGCTGCAATTTGCCCCTGTGGGCCGCTGATGCTCCAAGGATCATCTCTGAGCTCCAGACCCCTACCTCTAGTGGCCTGGATGCCTCCTTCTGTCCCAAAACCAACCTGCAACTCTCACCCCATAGGCCAGCCTGCTGTTTTCCCAGTGAGTCAACATTCCTTCATCCGGGTGTTGAGCTGAAAACGTCTTGGCACCTCCCTCCCTCCTTCCCACACCTCCTACCCTCCATCTATCATGTCCTCTTGCTTTTACCTCCTAGATGCCTAACCAATCTGCATCTCGGTCCCTCCACCATCACTCCCATCTTCTCCCACCTAGACCATTCTATAAGCTCCTACCTGGGGCACCCACTGGTCTCCTGGTCCCCTCCAACCCATTTTCCACTCTGAGCTCCATGATCTTTGCAAAATATGAATAAGGTTTATGCCATCCAGTTCCCTGCACCAAACACTTCTAAGCTTCTCCTTGTTCCCACGAGGCCTGTAGGCTGGGCCCAGTCTGCCTCTCCAGCCTCCCCGGCCCCCACTCACCCTGGCCTCTGCATCCCAACCCCACTGGTTCCTCAGTCCTGCGCCCACCATGCCCTCTCCTGTCACAAGAGCTCAGCCCAAGTTGACGCCTCTGCCTGGAACACACTGCCCTCCTTACTCAGCTTAAGTGTGCTTCCCAAATGTCCCTTGTCCTCAACGGACACCTGACCAAGGTGGCCAAATTCTCCCTACTATAAACTTTCATAGGGCCACATGCTTCCCCTTGAAATATTTTCCATAGTTATAATTTCACTACAGGCTATTTGCTCCATTATTATCTGATTCAGCCCACCTCACTTGTACCCCTGGCCCTTTGTTTTGTTTTTTAAAGACTTTATTTATTCATGAGAGACACAGAGAGAGAGGCAGAGGGAGACGCAGCCTCCATGCCGGGAACCTAATGCTGGACTTGATCCTGGGACTCTAGGATCACGCCCTGAGCCTGAGGCAGAGCCTCAACCGCGGAGCCACTCAGGCATCCCTACCCTACCCCAGGCCCTTTGCACTTGCTCTTTCCTCTGCCTGGTATGACTTTCCCCCAGATATCAGCACGACTAGCCCCCTGGCCTCCTAGACTTTCTTCAAATGTCGCCTTCTCTGTAAGGACTCTTGAACGACCCTATTTAAAACTGCAACCCTAGCTCCTTCTCTGGGGAGCTACTATCTTCAGGCACATCACTAATCCATGTTATTTGTCTTGTTCAGTGTGTCTCTCCCTCTCTGCAATGCTGTGCCACGCGGCAGGAACTTCTGTCTGGTTTGCCCATGGCTATACACGCGGTCCCTAACACAGTGACTGGCACAGAGTAGGCCCCGGTACATGTTAGGGAGTACGCGGAGGCAGTAGAAGCGTTCTGGGCAGGGCCAACTTATCCGGACGGTGGGCTCAGGGCCTGGGGCACCCCGGGCTTGCAGCGATTGCCAGAACCAAGCGCATCTCTTGGAGTCAGAGAGGGGAAGGTGAGAACCCTTAGGCCAAGGAAGACTCGAATACGTGGTGCTCGCGCAGTCATCCCTAGCCAGCACGTTCGGGAAGCAAGATGGTAATCTTGTGGCGGCGGTGGAGGGGGGTGCGCCTGGGGCGCCGCACGGACAGGGGCCCCGGCGGCCGCGGGGCGGCGGGGCGGCGGGGCGGTGCCGCTTTAAGGCTGCGCTGCGGGGACCGGCCGCGGGCGGCGCGGGATGCAGCGTGACGTCACGGCCCCGCCCCGCGGGGTGATGCTGCAGCCGCAGCGGCGGGCCGGGGGCTGCCGGGCGGGGACCCGGGCTGCGCGCGGGCCAGGCGGGAGCCCGGCCTCGGAAAGGGATGCCTCCTGCCTCGAACCACAGGTACCCCCGTTCTCCCGCGCCCCCCGCACTGCCGCCCGGCCTCGCGCGGGGGCGCCGCGGCTAGGCCCCCGGGGAATCCGAGTCCGGGATCGGGACCGGGGCTGGCCCGGAGACCTTTGTTCTTCCTTGATGATGTCTAGTTCGTTGACCCGTAAATGGAGCCCCGGTGGCGCCTCCGGAGTGCGGGACCCTTGGCCCAGGCCCGGAGGAGGGCGGCGGCGGGGCGACAGATGCAGCTCGCGCTGGAGTGTGCCCGGCGCCGCGGTGCTCCTTGGTGCCCGAGGCCTGGTCCCGGTCACCTGGGCAGGTGTCATACGCTTCCGGTTCGCCTCCCGCCCGAGGCCGACCCTCCTGGCGCGGGGGCTCCTCGTAGGACCCCGTGGGCACCCCAGGATGAAGTTTAGGGTGACTCCATGGCCAGGGTTCCAGCAGGGCTCCGGCGGCCGCTGCAGCAGGAGGCTGATAGCGGTTCGGTGCACTCTGATCTCATCAGCCAACACGTAACTTCTCAGGTGGTTTCTGAGGTTACCTGCTCTTCCATTTGTGTTTTGCAGCTTCTTTGGCAAGCAGAGTCAGGTGCTCCCAAACCCAAGTACACTGTGTGCCTGATTAGGGCTTTCGGGGTCACCCGGTTGTCAGAGAGGGACAGGATTCCGGACAGCAGAAGGGAGGACCCGGCCACAATCGGTGACCAGCGCATCAAGCTCGCCCCTCGGGCCCTCACGGGCCTCCGCCGGCTTGGGACGGTTTCCTCGAAGTAGTCGCTCTGAGCATTGGTGGCAGGAAGAGTAGGGGAGCCGTGTGGCCTCCCCGGCCGCCAGGTGTAAAGCCCGTGTCATGTAAAGAGGAGGAGAGACAAATGAGGAAATGATTCTGCTCATAATAGGGCCATTTTCAGCATTCAAATTGCATGGGCATTGTTTATTTTCATTGATAATTTGCAGTTTAATCTTCCCATACTAGAGTTGGAGGGATTCGTTACTTGGAACATCCTCTGTATTCAAGAAACACAGTGGGCACAGCACAGAACCTTTGTGGGGCCAGGGATATATAATATAATATAATATAATATAATATAATATAATATATAATATAATATAATATAATAATATAAAATTTATATTATATATATTTTTTGGGCTGAATTTATGCTCATAGAGTGTGATCAGGATGGCCAGATGGTCCGGTAAATATTTGTATTTGTGTATTAAAATTCTATTTCATTATTTTAAATTTCACTTTCATGTTTTCACTTTTCATTCTCACTTTAAATTTCACTTTCATTTTTTATAACATTCAAAAATGACTTTTAAGCATTCTTCTTAGAATAACCTTTCATGGATAGCTTTTAATAAATGTATTCTTGAAATGAAAATAGTAACACTGATCCCCCGATTTGAAAATGAACCCTCAGGGAAGACTTTTTCAAGTCCAGGTTTCATTTCTGGTTTAGCTGCTAGAGGTAAGGCAGCGGTCTGGTCTCATTTTTGCTAGGACAGGCTGCAGGCTGTGTTCTAAAGCCGGGGGGTGGTGGGCAGGTGACAAAGTGAAGCGATCACATCGTAGGCAGAGATATGAGCTATCCATATAATTCATTTCAAGGTCGAAAAGATTCCCCTTTTCAAAAATATGCTTCCACCATGTGCTGTTTAAATCTGAAATTCATCCAAAGTGGGCCTGGTTCTTCATTACAAAATGAAAGGCAAGGTTTCTAGTGCCTGTGCACTTAGGTTCACTTTATGGGGGTGGAATGGGCTAGGAAAGGGTGGCACCCTGTGCTGGAAGGGGGCGAGGAGCAGGGAGTGGGGGTGGGGCTGTGACCGGACAGGTGAGGTCAGGTCAAGCTCTCTCACACACCTGTGCTAAAGGTCTGCCTTCTGACTTTTAAGGAGATGGTCTTATGCGGTGTTCCAACGGGCACTTTATTTCTGTAGTTTTAATGAATGAGTGAAGATCCAGGGAATGCTAACAGCCACTTGGGTTTTGGGGTTTTGTTCTTGTTTTTTTTTTAAGATTTTATTTATTTGAGAAAGAGAGAGAACAAGCAGGGGGAGTGGCAGAGGGACCAGGAGAAGCAGACTCCCCTCTGAGCAGGGAGCCAGATGTGGGGCTCAATCCCAGGATCCTGGGAGCAAGATCCGAGCTAAAGGCAGATGCTTAACCAACTGAGCCACCCAGGTGCCCTCACCTGGGTTTTTAAAGACAAGACTGGCCAAAGGACAGATTTTTCTGGAGTATTTACTATGGGCTGAGCTAACACAGGAAGGAGAGAATCAAGAAGTTTAGCTTTAAAAAAAATATAAGTTTCACTTAATCTTCATAAATGAATTCTTAAAATTTATTTACTTTAGAGAGAGAGCATGGTGGGGTGCAGAGGGAGAGGGAGAGAGAGAATCTTAAGCAGATTCCCTACTGAACATAGACCTCCCCCAACGAGGGGCTCTTTTTTTTCAAGATTTATTTATTTGTTTATTTATTTTAAAGAGAAAGGGAGCAGGGGAGGGGCAGAAGGAGAGGGAGAGAGAAACTCAAGCAGACTCCTGAGCATGGAGCCCAAGGTGGGGCCCAATCTCATGACCCTGAGATCATGATCTGGGCTGAAATCAAGATTCAGAAGCTTAACCAACTAAGTCAACCCAGTGGTTATGTTTTTAATGAAGTGTTATTTGCCTACACAATTCTTGGGTATCTCTGTTCCTGTTTTAGAGACAGCATGATAGTTTTCTAAAGTCACAAGATAAGTTACAGAAATAAGAGCAGACTGGGTCTCTGGGTATGTCCTTCCCTGGCATCTCCGTATGAAATCCATCTCTCAGCAGGGCCACAGGCCCTTCTTGGTCAGCTAATTCCTTCCTGATGGCTTCCTCTCTCACCTCGCTGACATGGTGCCCAACTGTTGCACATACAGCTCCTTTACACAGCTAGTTCCCCCTGTGTAGGACACCTTCCCTCTACTTTCCACCCAACTTGGGGGCAGGAACTTTGTCTTTCCTTTATCTTTATGACCTCAGAGACTTGGTACTTAGTGCTCAGCCAAATGGGAAGATAGGTGGACAGGTGGACGGCTGAATGCGTGGATGTTTGGAAAGGTGGTTGGGTAGACAAGTAGATTAGAAGATGAGTGGGTGGATATGTGTTATGGGTGTGGTTGGATGGGTGGATAAGTAGGTGGAAGGGAGAATGGATGGATAGATGGATGGGTTGGTGGGTTAACACAGTGCTCTGAATCCTGCTAGAGTGTCTCTATAGAAAATCACTTCCACCACTGGTGTCTTGCAAACAGAAGGAAGACAGTCCTTGCGTAGGGTGGTGGGGGAATTTAGGATACAAATCTGGAGTGATGAAACATTTCCTGAGTGCTTCATAAAGAAGTTATGGACTTGTGATAGCGTGATGGAAGGTAGTAAGTTAATGTCAGGGATAAGGGCCTCATTTTTAAAGCTTAAAAGTAATTTTGAAAAAAAAATCCTGTAATATTGATCTTGGTAAATAACAAATGTCCTTATCAGGAAGCCCATCAATGCTGGGCATGTTGTCTTGGGTTTGGGGCCTACTTCTCAGGCAGGACTTCAAAGGAAATGTAGGCAATTACTGTTTTGTGAGGCGAATGAGGTGAGCTGTCAGAGGCCAGACAGAATCCTAGAAGGCTCCCCTCTGATGATTTTATCTCCCTCTTTACCTCTGATCTTGGTGGCCTTCCTCTCTCTATGCTTAATAAAATTGACATTGGTTAAAATGCACAGGTTCTGTTCTTAAAAGAATCTGTTCTTTTAATAGTTACAATCTCGATTAATTCCAAAGCAGTGAGAACCAATTGCACCCGGGGCAGGACTCTGTGTGGCCAATTGCAAACCCCAGGGGGTCTGGGGGCCTGAGGGAGACTAATTCCCCACCCAGGGCCCCGGGCATTATGAAAGTTGCTCTAAAAAATGATTTGAGGATGGAAGATATCTATTTCTCACCCTCCGTGGTTCTTTTTGTCCCTCACTTGTGTTTGTGTGTGTGTGTGTGTGTGTGTGTGTGTGTGTACAGTATCCCTATTCAGGGAGTCATCTATGGCATGTGGGATTCAAGGTGTTTGGTTTATCTCTTTAAAGAGAACATTTTTAAACACAGTAAGTCTCAGTTCTCCTGATGACTAAAAAATGTCATTCATCCGTTGATGCTGTAAGGAAAGGCTTGGAACTAAATGCACGCATCTGCTTTTAGACCAGGGCCCCAGCCTCCCAGGAATAGGAGACACAAGTGTTAGGCAAGGTGACCGCTGTGACTTTCCATCCCATGAGAGAAGGGCTGTCCCACGGCCGTGCGCAGGTGCTCAGGGAATCAGGGTACTTGTAGGTGGGTCCTGCCCCAAGCCTGGGCTCCCCACCACTCTGCTCCCCTGGGACCTGCAGGCCAGGGCAGAGTTTGTCCTGAAATGAGTTGTGGGTCCTAAAATAGGCTGGCACCCCTCAGAGCCATGGGGTTCCTGGCCGCCCTCAGTTCCTAGGAGGCTCCTTGCTTGGCCCTCCTCATGGAGCCTCTTTAGGGGAAGGTCCCCTTGAGTTTTAGTGCAGGGACCTGCAGGACCAGGCTCCTCCCTCTGAGCAGGGACAGGGCCCCAGCTGTGGTCTCCTGAGCCACGTCGGACACAGGCCCTGGCGACATCTTCTGCCAGCAGTAGGCCTCTTCTCTGGGGGCACAGCAGTCGCCTCTAAGAACTCACCCCTCCTCATATGAAAAGGAGGAGCAGGTGCCAGTTGGGAGGGGGCGGAGGGAGCCACCTGGAAAAGCTGATTCTCACGGTGGAGGCTCCAGTGAGTAACTGCCGCCCCCGGACGGGCTTTCCCCACAGGAACACCCACCGGCCCCCCCTACGATGATCCCCCCGGCGAGCAGCACCCCTCCAGGAGAGGCCCTGTTCCCCAGTTTGGCTCCTCAGGACTTCTGGAGGTCTCAGGTCTCAGGCTACTCGGGGTCCGTTACCCGGCACATCAGCCATCGAGCCAACAACTTCAAACGGCACCCCAAGAGGAGGAAGTGCATTCGTCCTTCCCCGCCCCCACCCCCCAACACCCCGTGTCCCATCGAGCTGGTGGACTTTGGGGACCTGCACCCCCAGAGGTCCTTCCGGGAGCTGCTCTTCAACGGCTGCATTCTCTTTGGCATCGAGTTCAGCTATGCCATGGAGACAGCGTACGTGACCCCCGTGCTCCTGCAGATGGGCTTGCCTGACCAGCTCTACAGTCTGGTGTGGTTCATCAGTCCCATCCTTGGTGAGCCCCAGCTCAGCCCCGCTGGTGGATGGCCTCCGGAAACCTATGGAAGCTTCCAGAAGCCCGAGTTGAAGCAGCTAGAGGGTCAAGGGAGGAGCAAGAGTTAAGTTCCACTCATTAGTTTGGGGTTGTGGGAAAACACAGGAAGGGTCACCACACCCCGTGTTTTAAGTGACTCCCTCTAAACAGGCCGTAGACCAGGAATTTCACAGACCCCAAGGATCACCGCCATCCTCACAGAGCTGTCACTGGAGGATCCAAGCAATGAATTTAGCTTGATGTGGTTTGAGTCTGGGCGGCCCTGGAATTTCTTGGATTGCCAAGGGAGCTCACGGCTGCTTAGTGCCTTGTAGGGGCCTAGGTAGAAAATCTGAGCTGTTCCAAGAGTCTGTCTTTTGTTTTTCTAGCTTAGGGTTGTGTGCTCCAAGTTTCATCATCTATTCATTTGATGCCCTGGGACCTTCTGGTGCAGGTGTTTGAGGGCTGGGACCAGGCTGTCTCTGTCCAGCCAGGTGTGCCCAGGGGACCCCAGCGATGACCTCTGAACTCTCTTTCAGGATTCCTACTGCAGCCACTGTTGGGTGCTTGGAGTGACCGGTGTACCTCAAGGTTTGGAAGGAGACGCCCTTTCATTCTTGTCCTGGCTATAGGTCTGTTGTTTTGGAATTGAAATAAAGTGGAAAAAAAAAAAAAGAAAGAAAGAAAGAAAGAAAGGCCCCAACTGCTTCCTCTTAGCAAAATCTGACAGTGTTGACCCAGGCAGTGATGCAGATAATTTCACAGGCGAGGTGGCAGGGAGTGTCCAAAACCTGGCCTGAGTTAACTGCAGCAACTTATCACTGATTTTTTTTAAGAACAAGTTAATAAAGTTTATGTCATTCCCGCCCTGCTTGACAAAATAAAAACCCTGATCCAAGTGGGGAAAAAAACTCATGGTGAGTCTGCAGGTGACTTTTCCAATGGGCTCTGCTCGGTGTTTGGTGAAAAAGGCATCCTTGGGCCCTAGAGACTCCCCACTGAAGCGGCGGGTGCCGGGGCAGAGCTGCTCTGCGTTTCCTGGCGGCGTGACTCTGCTTCTCTGTCCGCAGGGGCATTGCTGGGCCTCTCGCTCCTGCTCAACGGCCGGGACCTGGGCACGGCGCTGGCCGACTCGGCCGACGACCACAAGTGGGGCCTCCTCCTGACCGTGTGCGGGGTGGTGCTGATGGACTTCAGCGCTGACTCCGCGGACAACCCCAGCCACGCCTACATGATGGATGTGTGCAGCCCCGCGGACCAGGACCGCGGCCTCAACATCCACGCCCTGCTGGCAGGTAGGTCTCCGGGCCGCGTGTGCACTCCCGCACGCCCTGGTGCAAAAAACGAGTCGATACAACTCCAATATATGGAAGAACGTGGCGTGCTTGAACATATGTATTTCAAACAATATTGTTCAGCAACACTCTGGAGTGCTGATCTATGCATGTACGTGTACGAACTATACGTGTAGCCACATATGTGATGTGTCAGTGTCCGTGCATGTGGTTATATGCGCGCTTTATTCTCATTGTTCGAGGAGTTAGGTTCTGTAGTCACCATGAGCCCTGAATTAGCCGGTCCTGAGTCACTGCCCCTAGGGAAACTACAGGGTCAGCTTCCTGTGAACCTCTGGCCACATATTCCGTCACAAGCAACCGGTCCGTACCTAAACTTGTCTTATGTGTTTCAGTTTAAAGATACCTTTGGGGATCCCTGGGTGGCCCAGCGGTTTGGCGCCTGCCTTTGGCCCAGGGCGCGATCCTGGGGACCCGGGATCGAATCCCACGTCGGGCTCCCGGTGCATGGAGCCTGCTTCTCCTTCTGCCTGTGTCTCTGCCTCTCTCTCTCTCTCTCTCTGTCTGTGTGACTATCATAAGTAAATAAAAATTTTAAAAAAAAGACACCTTTTGAACGTACCTCATAGATTCACTAACAAGGAGCACATGGCAACAGCACCATAACGCATGCCTGAACAAGGCTTGCCAGACACACGTATTTGCTTCGTAAGACACATCACAGCCTTCTTGGACTTAACGAACAAGAGACAGCAGTGCAGGGGCACCTGAGGGGGCTCAGGTGGCTAAGCATCTGCCTCTGGCTCAGGTGATGATCTCAGTCAGGGTCTTGGGATCAAGCCCCGTGTCAGGCTCCCTGCTCAGTGGAGAGTCTGCTTCTCCCTCTCCCTCTGCCCTTCCCCCTCCTTGTGCTCTTTCTCTCTCTGTCTCAAATAATAAGTAAAATCTAAAGAGAGAGAGAGAGAGCGAGAGAGCGCAGTACATCAGTATTACACGTGGGGACTGTCCAATCCCAGTTGGTTCTTCTAGCAAATGCCACTTACTTGCCTCTACTTACACACATGCATACATCAGGGTCCAGGGAACTTCTGCAGGGGTCTCAGCCGGGCCAGTGCTGGGGTGTGGAGGGTAGCAAGAAGGGTTCTGCTTTTAACCTTATAGTCTTCCGTATTGTGTCTTTTCTTTAAAGATTTCTTTATTTTGTAGAGAGAGAGAGAGAGAGAACACTCACAGGTGCCCGGGGGTGGGGGAAGAAGGGCAGAGGGAGGGAGACTCTCCAGCAGACTCCATGCCCAGCACAGAGCCTGACATGGGGCTTGATCTCAGGACCCTGAGATCATAACGTGAGCCGAAATCAAGAGTTGCTGCTTAATCAACGGAGCCACCCGGGAGCCCCTCTTTTCTTTTTTTATTGTGCTAAAATACACTTAATATAAAATGTACCATCTTAACCAATTTTAAGTGTACAGTTCGGTGGCATCCAGCACATTCACACTGCGGTGCAGCCATCACCACCATCCACTCCCACACCTTTCTCATCCTGTAAAACTGAAACTCTGTCTGCTCTGAACCCTGACTCCCCATTCCCCACCTCCAGCCCCCAGGATCCCATCATATACTCTCTCTGTCTCTATAACTTTGGCAACTTTGAGCACCTTACATGGATGGCATCACACAGTACTTCTCTTTTTGTGACTGGCTGATTTCACTTGGGGTGATCTTCATCCCCGCCGCAGCAGGTGTCAGCATGTCCTTCATATATAAGGCTGAATAACACTCTACTGTGTGTCCAGATCCTATCTTGTTATCCTTTCACCTGCTGGTGGACGCCAGTGGCTCCCACGTTTCAGCTGTTGTGACTCGTGCTGCTACGAATAGGGGTGTGCAGATGTCTCTTCAAGACCCTGCTTTCAGTTCTTTTGGCTATAAACCCAGAAGTGAAATTACTGGCTCATATGGTAATTCTATTCTCTATTTTCTGAGGAGCCTCCCTACTGCGTTCCGTGGCAGCTGCCCCATCTTACACCCCAGCAGCAGTGCACCGGGCTCCTATTTCTCTACGTCTTTGCCAACACCTGTTACGGTTTTTGCTACAACCCATCCTCATGAGTTGAGGTGGGATCTCCTCGTGGTTTGGGTTTGCATTTCCCCGCAGGCTAGGGATGCTCTCTGTGTGCTTCTTGGCCCTCAGTATGTCTTCTTTGGAAAAATAGACACTAAATAGATACGTAAGTTCTTTGCCTTGTTTGAATCAGGCCGTTTGTTTTATCGCGGCTGAGTTGTTCACACGATTTCTTTCCTGTGAGAATACATTTGCTTCAGTCATTGTTTTTTATTATTATTTTTAAACAAGTAATCCTTGTTTTTTCTTTTTCTAAGACCCCATTGATTTATTCATGAGAGACACAGAGCGAGAGAGACAGAGGGAGAAGTAGGCTCCATGCAGGGAGCCCGACATGGGACTCGATCCTGGGTCTCCAGGATCACAACCCCGGCCAAAAGTGGCGGTAAACTGATGAGCCACCTGGGCTGCCGCAGTCATTGTTTTTTAAAAAGTGATTAATAAACGTCATCTCACAGCTGATGTTATTTAAGGGCCACAAAATAGCAATTATGTCTTCAAAAGAGGTGGGAGGAAGCTAACTGGGACCACGAACACGGGAAGGTAAGAATAAGAAGAGTCGGGGGCAGCATGAAATTCAAAGGCCCATAAGGACAGCTGGGGACAGATGAAGGGGCCATAGGAGGAAACCATTAAGAAGTAGATTCAGGGCCACATGCCATCTTTAGGGACCTGGAGAAGGATGAGTTTTTCCGTAGAAGTCACAGCTTAAAAGTGGCTGGTTCTCCCCAGAGCAGAGGGTGACCAGATCGCAGCAGCCGGTTGAAGACAGGTTCCTCTCCAGGAGCAGAGTTAAATGGAGAGAACTCGGCTCCCAACCAGGAGACAGGCTCAGAACGTTGCTGAACTCAAAATAAAACAACACACCAGATCCCTGGTGTAGCAGGGAAGGGGGCTGGAGGTGCTGGGGATGTGGGAACTTGGGAGCCGGCGGCGGCGGGGAGACCACACTTCCTGAGCTCAGTAGATGGGGTGCTGCTGGTGGGGTGCGAGGAGGCACCACCCGCGTCTTTACGCGGTGCCGCATGCATCAGTGTGCCGTGCACCTGCTCCCCGAGGCCGAGGCCGTGGGAGGCAGCAAGCAGGAGCAGAGGAAGGGCCCAGATCCCTGCAGCCCTGTTGCTCCCTGATGGCTTGCCGACCTGGAGGGCTAGTCACCGGGGTGGCCATCCTTGGTCACCAGTAGGATGCCGGCATCAGGCGAGTAAGACCGGGGTGGCCACGTGAATCCCCTCCGCCCAACTGTGTTAGAGACCAGATCTTCCATATTTGCCTCCCAAAAGGGAATGTGACCCAGTGTAGAGACCTTCAGTGTTCCAGCAAGGCCACGTGTAAGTGGGACAGAGGTGGACAGGTGGTCACTGTGCCCCTTGCTCTGGAGCCAGGCAGGCCCAGTAGGTGGCCCTCGAGCGGGAGAGGGGGCACCCTGAGGGGGTCCTCCTGGGAATCCCATTCTCACTCTCACTTGTGCTGGGATTTAGGAGGGACCGATGCTGTATCTGGATCCTCGCAGGGATTTGGCCACTTGAGTGAGACACAGAACCACGACTCTCGAGGGCCCCCCACCGAGGGTCTCCTGCCCCCGCACCACCTGCAGGGGGTCAGCCGGGGGACTTAACCCTGCTTCTGTCCCCAGGCCTCGGAGGAGGATTCGGCTACGTGGTTGGGGGCATCCACTGGGACAAAACTAGCTTCGGGAGAGCCCTGGGTGGGCAGCTGAGGGTGATCTACATCTTCACTGCGGTCACCCTGAGCGTCACCACCGTCCTGACCCTGCTCAGCATCCCTGAGAGACCCCTGCGGCCCCCTGGCGAGAAGAAGGCCACCATGAAGAGCCCCAGCCTCCCGCTGCCACCGTCCCCGCCCGCGCTGTGCGAGGAAGGCGCGGGCGAGCCCCTGCCCTGTCCCCCGGCCCCCAGCCTGTACGCCGGCCTGTCCAGCCCCATCTCCCCACTCAGCCCCCTCACGCCCAAGTACGGCAGCTTCACCAGCCGCGACGGCTCCCTGACGGGGATCAACGAGTTCGCCTCATCCTTTGCCACGTCCAACATAGACAGCGTGCTCATTGACTGCTTCACGGGCGCCCCCGACGGCGCCCCGCGGCAGGCCCTGAGCGTCAGCTTCCCCCGGGCCCCCGACGGCTTCTACCGCCAGGACCTCGGGGACAGGCGGGAGGCAGCCCTGGTTGGGGGCCCCGACGGGGACGTGCTGAGGGTGGGCTCCCTGGACACCCCCAAGCCACGCTCGGCCGGGATCCTGAAGAGACCCCAGACCTTGGCCATCCCGGATGCAGCCGGAGGAGGGGGCCCCGACACCAGCCGCCGGAGGAACGTGACCTTCAGTCAGCAGGTAAAAGCGAGGCTGGGGGTAGGGGCATGGGACAGAGGGCACTGTGTGTTGTCCCCCTCAGCAGTTAGAGGGAGGGGGATTGTGGCTCTGGAAAGACCCCCCACCCCGAGCTCCTCCCCTGCTGGAGGCATTGGAAGGTCGGTGGAACTAAGCCAACAAGGCCTGGGCGTGAGGGGTGGTGAGACTGGGCCCACCCCATCAGAGGGACACTCGTTTGAAACGTGGTCATGTCTGCCCAAAGGCAGGTCAGGCCAGGAGGCTCCCGGCGTGACTCTGTCAGGAGCATCCTTAGTGTTGCCCCCAGTGTCCATGCGCTTGGGCTGTGGTGTCTGGTGCCAGCAGGTCTAAGTCTCCCCCAGGGGTGGCTCTGAACAGAACGCCTGGCAGACGATCCTGGGTCCTCCTGGGCTCCTGGAGGCTGTCAAAACTCTGGATTCTACAAGGTAGTGCGTGGCACAGTCAGTGCAGGTGAAGAACCTTCCAGAAGGCTGTTGGTGTCGTATTTAGTGTAGGTCAGATGGGCTGAAAGGCCACCAACTGACAGGTGGGCTTTTAAGCAGCATCAGAGTCAGGAGGCCACCTCAAACAGAAGAAAGGTTACCCTGACGCTTGAAGTGGACTCATCCTGGGGCCCGCCTGCCCTCAGGGGAGTCACAGGGTGAGAGAGGATTCCAGTAAGAATTTGGAGTTTCTTGAAAGGGAGTTCGACCTGCGGGGCCCCGAGGGAGGCAGGCAGCCTGGAGGCCGGGAGCTCGGAAGGAAGCGCGGCCTGCTGACCTGACCCGACCCGAGCCCACGGTCTCCCGTGGAGCGGAGCCACACGGCTGGGAGGGGGCTGGGAGGGGGCTGGGAGGGGGCTGGGAGGGGGCTGGGAGGGCCTGCTCCTCGGCGGGGTCTGTGCTCCGGGAAGGGCTGCCTCCCGGGGGGCAGATGCATTTTCTGTCCCCGGGTAAATCCTCAAGCACCTGTGTCTGGTTTGCTCTTCTGTGGGGCGCGTGGCGGCTGGCTGGTCGTCATGCCACCTCCACAGTCCCCAGGGAGGAACCATCCTCCTGCGGAGGCACGTGGCATCCTTGCGGGGAAAGCTCGAGAACACCTCTGGAGCTCAGGACTGGAAAAAAGGCCTGAAGAAGCGAAAATCGCCGGAAGGCTAGGGGGTCCGCTTATGGCCGGAACAGAGGTTCCTCTCGGGCCTCGAACCTCACCCTCCGTCACGGATGACAGGAGGCTCTCGACCAGGCCTCTTGGCAGCCCTGCGTCATCCCGTGCCGCTTCACAACATCCCACCCGGCTTCGGGATCCAGTTCCGTAGCTGTGGTCGAGGCTGTCGTCGGAATCCTCTCTTCCAGTCCCATCCCCGGTGGGGTACCATGTAGGAGGCAGCTCCTTGAGGAGAGTCAGTCACGGGCCACAGGCAACGCGGCCGGCCTCGGGCGGGCACTGTGGTGGCCTTTTAGCCTCCTCCTCCACCGGCAGCCACGGTGACGAGCTCCTGGGTCGTGGCTGCCTGGGGCCCCCACGGGTGACAGCAGCCCCAGTGCCCCTGTGGAGCCAGGGCAGCGCCGCCCCCGCCGCTTGCAGAACCGTAGGTCACCTGGCTGGGGTCTGCACCAGCGACCCAGGCGAGCGACCCCGGAGCGGCGCCCCCTTGTCCTGGGGCAGTGAGCAAAGCAAATCAGTGAGCGGGTGTGTGGGGGGGGCTCCCGGGCCCCCCGAAGCAAGCAGCCCCGCGCCCAGGGCCGAGGTGAGTGCGTCTGCTGCCTGCACCTGCTCAGGGCCGCCGCGGCCTCTGTGGGGGTCGGAGGGCCCCCCCGGGAGAATTCTGAGCAGATCCCCCAGCCGCCCCCGAGCAGCCCTCTGCGCCTTACTCTGACTGAGCGGACGGGGCTCTTGGGACATCCAGGTTCGGACCGGCCCTTATTTCTTGCATTTCCAATGTCTTTCATGTTCGAGCAGGTAGTCACTCGCGCTCGGTGGCACCCATCTCTCATGCCGTGGCCAAAGGGTGGGCGCGTCCTCGGGTGCCCCGTGGCTCAGGGTGCCGCTCGGTGCTGGGCGTTCAGCTGGCACCACCAGGAGGGCGCCGTGCGCGGCCCGTCCGCTTCCCATCGCAGCCGCAGCCGGCTCCGGGCGCCGCCCGAGCGGGAGCCCTGGCAGGAGCTCTGTGCGGCTTCCTTTTCAGGTGGCCAATATTCTACTGAACGGCGTGAAGTACGAGAGTGAGCTGGCGGGCTCCGGCGAGCCGGCGGGGCAGCCTCTGTCCATGAGGCACCTCTGCTTCACCATCTGCCACATGCCCAAGGCACTCCGCAATCTCTGCGTCAACCACTTCCTGGGTGAGCTCTCGGCAAACCTCGCCGTGCTCTGCGTGTCCAACCCCCCCCAGCTCACGCTTTGCGATGGGGACATGCCGGGGACCCGGCTCCCCGACCCCGGGCTCCCTCCCCAACCGGCCTCCCGGGAAGCCCCGGAGCCCCACGTCCCGTCCTGGGGTGGGGGCGACATTGCTCATGCGTGTAGACTCCCTAGGTCCCATCAAGGGGAGGACGTGGTGTCGGGTGCCCCGGGGGGCTTCTCTGCAGGGGGCCAGACCGGTAGGTGCTCGGGGCCGCCCCGAATGACGCCAGGTGCTGGGGCCGGAGGCACACCCCTTCCCCCCGGCCGACACCTGGTCTCCGCAGAGCCCGAATTCTCCTTACCAAGAGCTCTTCGGACAGCTCGCACCTCAGTGACGGACGCCACCGGTGGGGCTTGTACCTTGAGCCCGTCTGGGCCTCACTAGTGTGTTAGAGCCGAGGCGGCCGCACATACAGACACTCGCACGTGCCTGCCCGTGCCTGGCTCTGGCCTCGAGCCCCAGGCCTGACATTCCGATTGCCATTTCATTCCCTTCGGGATCTCCCTGCCATCAGGTTGTTGAACCTCTGAGGATGATTAGGAATTTGAGATACTCTCGGGCTCTCCAATACTGTGGGATATAAATCAGGATGTCTTTCTGGAAGGCCATCTGGCAACAGGCAAGAATCTTAAAAATGTCCATAACCTTTATCCCAGTGACCCTACTCGATATTCCATGCAAGGCCATAAACAGAAATGTTATCAAGGATCTATGTGCCAGGTATTAGTCACAGCAGGATGGATAACAGCCAGACGCAGGGAAGCAGGGGTGCGGGGGGGGGGTGCAGGCCCAACAGCGGGAGAAGGGGTTCAATGTATTAATGTTGTGCCCACTTTGTGCAGCCTCGTGCTGCCGTTAACACGGGCTGTTTGAGAATACTCGCTGGCTTAGGAAGTCGTGCATGGTAACGATTGGGGTTCAAGAGGTCCCACAGGTGCCGTCCTCCCTTCCTCTACCGATGATGGAACTGACGCAGGAGCCCTCGGTTCCTTCGTCCGAGAAGCCTGTGGTCCTCTGGCACCATTTGCACTTCCTAGCCTGCCGCTCTCGGCTAAGTGCCACCCCGTCATGCCAGCGGCTGCGGCTCCACTGGCATTTTCTTGTCCCCTTGCAGAGAGGTGAGTGGGAGCAGGATGAGGCGGTTAGAAGGAGTGAGGGCTTCGCTCCCTCCAGGCCATAGTGTTCAGAGAAAGAGCAGAACACGATCTCTCAGGCAACAGAGCCTGTGTTTATGAGGATACACATTTGCTTTAAAAAAGACTGGTAGGGGACCTGCAACGGGTTAACAGAGGTAAAGTGATCTCTGGGTGTGAGGCTGTAGGTAATTTCTTCGTTAGGTTTTGAAGCCATAAAAACCGTGTATTACTCTGTATTTGGTAAAACCACCTATTGGCGAAAGAAGAGGCGGTGGCAGCGTCTTCGCCGGCGGTCACCAGCCCTTTCCCCTCCCAGGGTGGCTCTCATTTGAGGGGATGCTGCTCTTCTACACCGACTTCATGGGTGAGGTGGTATTTCAGGGAGACCCCAAAGCCCCGCACACGTCAGAAGAATATCGGAAATACAACAGCGGCGTCACCATGGGCTGCTGGGGGATGTGCATCTATGCCTTCAGCGCTGCCTTCTACTCAGGTACCCGCGCCCCAGGGAACAGGTGGGGGTGGGGGCCCCTTGTGGGAATGACAGCTTTAGTGGGGTCCTTGGAATACATTGAGTGGAGGGAGGTTTGTGACTTCACGATCGCAGGCAGAGCATCCCAATTTGGGGGACACTGTCATGGGACCACCTGTTGGGGCTAGCGGGGTGGCACTGCCCTGTGCTGGGCGATGGGGACCGGTGTCTATCCAGACCTGAGTAAGCCGGCAGGCAGAAAGGCCAGGCCCATAACTGAGGGCAAAGGGGAGCCCTAGGGACAAACACCGAGGTCACCCCCAGGCCAGGGGGCTGTCTGCCCACCCCCCCACCCTTCCCACATTGGTTCGTGTGGCAAGTGGTCCAGAAGGAGGGGAGGAGGAGGTGAGAACGGGGTGGGGGGGGCAGACGGGAGGGCATGTGGGGAGAGCCCAGGCCAGAGGCTGAGCTGACCCCGAGGTCTGCAGGGGGGACCACAGGGGACACAGGAGGCCGAGCTGGATCCCTGCAGGGTGCCAGCGACCATCCCAGTGGGGACCTGGGTGATGGTGCCACCAGCAACTGTCATCTTGGGGTCAGCCCGCATGTTCCGTCAAGGGCCAGAGAGGGGGCGCTTTCGGCCTCGCAGGCCACATGGCCTCTGGGGAACCCCTGGACCCTGCCCTAGTGGCTCGGAGGCCACCACGGACAAGATGTTTCTGTCTAAAAAGTGTGTGCGGTCAAGTCCTAGTAAAACCTCCTTTACGTTCAATAGGAATTGGAATTTCATATAATCTTCATGTGACACAAAATACTTGTCTTCTTTTGGTTTTTCAAAACCATCTAAGAATATAAAAACCATCCTTAGCTCCGGGCGGTGTCCAGGCGGTGCTCCGGCCTGCTGGATTTTGCCTCCTGTCCTGTGTCCTGCCCCCCAAGCCTGTTTGGTGTTTTGGACCAAGATCCCTTCACCTGCACCCCCTGGGGCCTGCCGTCCCCTGGACCACGCTGGCCTGGGCACCCCTGGAACTGATGCCTCCCGCTCCCTCTCTGCAGGCTTTCTAGTGTGGGGCGAGCCACCTGCCAGACGTAGGCCCAGTCCCGGGGAGGTGGTGGCCCAGGGAAACAGAGTGCCTGGGGCCACCGGGCAGAGCGTGACGCTCACCTTCTTTTCTGGCCCGCAGCTATTCTTGAGAAGCTAGAAGAATACCTCAGCATCCGCACACTGTACTTTATCGCCTACCTGGCCTTTGGCCTGGGGACTGGGCTCGCCACCCTGTCCCGGAACCTCTACGTGGTCCTGTCACTCTGCATCACCTACGGGATTTTATTTTCCACCTTGTGCACCCTGCCCTACTCACTTCTGTGCGATTACTACCAGAATAAAAAGGTAAGTGCTTCCATTTCTCTGCCTCGGGTCCTGAAAAGGCCGGCCAGGACCTGGTCTCCACCCTCCCAGCTGCCTGGAGGAACCCTACCTGAGAAATGGCCCTGGGGGCAGCTCCACGACAGGAATGAGGGGCCTGATCACACGCTAAGAATGTCCAAGCTGGGCCCGCGGAGCAGAAACCCGAGTGGGTTGCTGCCTCCGTTGGTGCCCCATTTGTTGGGGAAGTTGGGCGGCGAGGAGGGAGCAAGGGGAGGCTCACCCCTTCGTGTCCCCTGCTGTCAGGCTTCAGGGCCACCTGTTAGCCTCAGGCGAGGCGAGCGAGCCACTCACCTGGGACACAAAAAAAACTCAGTGATCAAGGTCAAGAATAGGTTAGCACAGTATTTCTAAAAAAGAGAATTAATGCCAAAACTCCATGCTGAACAAAATATCAGAACTTCAAGACAAGGTTAAATCACATCTCCGTGCCACACCACAGTGCAGATGGAGGCAAAAGGAAAAATCAGGAAAATCCATCCTGTCTTTATACGAAATTTTGACATTTTGCTCAGCATGGATCCTTCTCTGACAGCTTTGCTGAGATAGGAGTCACGGTACAACATCGTATGGTTCACCCATTTCAGGTGTGCAGTGTACTCTGAGTTGTGTGATCACCGCCACAATCGATACAGGACACTTTTGTCACTCCCAAAAGAAACCCCGTACCCATGAGCCATCGCCCTCCCCGTCCTTCCAGCCCAGGCCCCACCACCCCCGCTCCTCTGCACTTGTCTGTCATGGAGACACGTCATGGAGACAAAATCATGCCACATGTGGCCTCCGTGTCTGGCTTCTGTCATGGGTGACCTGTTTCCAAGGAGCATCCACGTCGTAGCGTGTCAGGCCTTTGTTCCTTCTTGTGGCCAGTAGTGCTCCTGTCAAGGATTTTTTTGCAGTAACTTGGAGATTTAAAGTACTGTATTAAAAGATCACCTTGACACCTGGGTTTCTTGCACCCCCTTTTAATTTGGGGCTCCTGTCGCCTCCCCCAGGCCTGGCTCCAGAGGCATCCTGAGTTGTTTTGGGGGGTTTGGAGTGTCTGATGACTTCAGCAGGGGCCAGCTCGGAGCACAGCATTTTTTTGTGAGATGTCAAATTGGCCTGGAGCCCCTGGGTCCCTGGGTGGTAGCTGTAGCAGTCCCTCCAGACCCTTCTCTGCCAGCAGCTGGACTCCTGGTCCCACGTCAGGCAGGGGTCACGAGGACCGCACTTCCCCCTGGAGGGGACGCGGGACAGAACTGTGACTGCTGCACCCCAGGGACCAAGAAGGGGAGGGGATGTGAGCGGTGCTACCCCTGCTGGCTGGTGCTGTCCCCCTGTCAGTCCCCTGCAGCCCCAGAAACCCCTCGACTGGGAAGAACAGATGGGCCAGTTCTTGGTGGGAAGGGCCACCCTAACTGAATGTGGTCAGGCCCCTGGAAGCCTTGGGCCTCTTGCTCATAGAGTCTTCTAGACACTCATACTCCTGTGAGTCTCTGTTCAGCTGCAGGCTCAGGGCTGACCTGTGACCACCCCGTCGGCCTTGCTGACTGTGTGCAGATGCAGGGGATGGAGGGGGAGGCCAGTCTCCCTGGGACACATGAGGTGTGCATCCACAGAGCCATCCCCGGGGTGGGGGCTGCATCGGTGTCTGCTGGCCCCCAGGTGGAGAACACACTGTACTTAGTGGGGGTGGCGCCAGCCGTAGCTTCGGTGGGTGAGGGGGGCCTATGCTGGGGAACAGAGTGAGGGGACCCACCCCGCCTCCTGCCACCATTGCTCCTGCAGCCCCAGTGGGGTGCGTGCGTGGCAGGCAGGGAGGGTGATGTGTCCACCCCAGAGGCCATGAGGACCTCGGGAAAATGGGCCAACAGACCAGACCCAGAGACTGTGAGGGTATTTCAGAGTGTGTGTGGGCATCGTAGCTGACAGAGGTCAGGAAAGGGGACGAGCCGGGACGCAGAGTGCCAGCCAGCCTGGCAGGTTGCCTGTCTTTCAGGGGAGAAGGCAGAGAAGTCCAGGCTGCCTAAGCCAGAGAGAGCCTTTGTGCCGCCGAGGCCTGTGGGAACACAGCCCTTCCGCTCCTGTTAGTCATGGATTCTTTTCAGGGCCATCATCTCTCTGAACACAAATATTATTAAACTCTTGGCTGAACTCCCTGCACATGTCAGTGCCGGAGAATGTGAGCCCGCTGCACGCGGGCCTCGTGGGTCCCCAGGCCTGCAAGAAATGTGGGGCTTGGTGGGCACCTTGCTGTCCCGGTGTCCCGCTGATGTGTTTCTCCTTCTGGATCAGTTTGCAGGGTCCAATGCGGACGGCACCAGGCGGGGCATGGGCGTGGACATCTCCCTGCTGAGCTGCCAGTACTTCCTGGCCCAGATTCTGGTCTCCCTGGTGCTGGGGCCTCTGACCTCGGCCGTGGGCAGCGCCAATGGGGTCATGTATTTCTCCAGCCTGGTGTCCTTCCTGGGCTGCTTGTACTCCTCCTTATTTGTCGTTTATGAAATCCCTCCCAGCGATGCCACCGAGGAGGAGCACCGGCCCCTCCTGCTGAACGTCTGACACCCCGGAGCCTCACCTTTGGCCTCGAGCCTGTGCCTGGGGGTCTGGAGCCGTCCAGCCAGTGGGAAACCCAGGGCCTTGGTGGACGCAGGACAGGTCTCCTGTGGAATGTACATATGTGATAAAACAATAAACAGCAGCAGCGAAGCCTATGGTTTCTAGTTGGGGCTCTCCCGAGGGTGGAGAGGTCACCTGGGGAGCGGGCTGCTCTCTATGGGGCCTTGGGGAGGGGGCTGTGAGAATCACTCATTGACAGTAGACCTGTGACTCAATCGTTCTCAACTGGTGGCGATTTTGCAACCCCCTCCCCCCACTGACCGGGAGAAGACACTTGGCAATGTCTGGGATCGTTACAACCTGGGTGGGTGCCTGCTGTCCACAGAAGCCTTAAACCTTGTACAGTGCACAGGACAGTCCCCACAATGTAGACTGTTCCAGTCCCTGACGTCAATCGCACTGAGGTGCAGAGAACCTGATCTAACTGTGCGTTGCATCCCAGAATGGAGTTAGAGTATACGATGTGTTTGGGTCAGAAGGCCTTGTATTCATTCACTCATCCATTCTCCCACCCACCCATCCACTCATCCATATATCCATCCATCCATCCATCCATCCACCCACCCACCCACCCACCCTACAGATACCCATCGAGTGCCCTGGGTGTGCAGGCAGTGGTAGGTGCTGGGGTCCACCTGTGAGCAAGTCTCTGCCCTCGTGGAGCTGATGTAGGAAGAGGCAGACAGTACACTGAGGTCTGTGCCTGAAGATGGCGGTAAGTGCTATGAAGGTCACAAGCAGGGCAGGAGGATGGGGTGACGGGGCTGGGGAGTGGGCTCTGCTAGGGAAAAGGGGGCATCCTTTTTGGAGAGATGCCGTTTGAGCAATGCCCTGGTGGAGAGGGGAAGATATTGGAGAACTGAAGTGGGAGTGTGCTTGGTGTGTTCGCGGGATCATAGGCTCCAAAATGCTTGGGCCATAGTATGCCCAGTAAGGTGAGAACCTCCAGATGGAGAGATGCCCGGGTGAACGCATACCTACCCTCTGACTTGACCCACCGCCTGCACCCACCATCTTCTGGTGGATGGAACTGGATGAATCTCTGACTTCCTGTGAGTGTCAAGGTCCTTCGCCGGGTGGTTTCTCACCATCTTCCATCACTTGAGGCACCTTTCCCCTTGCCGCCGGGCGGGCTTTTGTCCCCAAACTGTTGAGTGCTGGCTGTGTGGACTGTGAGGGGTGGGTCATGGCCTGTCACTGTTGTGCGTGCCCGTGGCACTGGAACTGGGCCCAGCCCCTGGCACCTTCACTGCATGGTCCCTATATTTTGGGGATATATAGGAGAAACTGATCACAACCCCTCCCCAAAAAGCAATGGGGGTCCTAGGGCCATGGCCAGCCTCTGAGGAGAATCTGGGGTTTGTGGGCAATTGACATGTCCCATCATTTTTTTGACAATGGTCAGGGACAGTGGGTGTAAAGCCTCCAACCCTCTGCAGGGTACCTTACCTACCTCCCCACGTGGGCCATGGTCTCCCCCAGTGCCATTGCCTGCTGTCCTCCTGGAGCTAAGGTGGCTCCTGCGAGGTCCCTGGAGCCCAGGCACCTCCTCTCTGCCCTCACATCTGGCCAAGGATCTCTGCCCACTTGCCTCCAGTCGACCCTCCCTGTCCAGCCTCCACTCTGCAGCCAGGGGAGCTATGCACATGCCTGAGCACATCCCTTCCCCTTAACACTTTCTGGGGGCTTCTCAGAGCCTGAGGAACTGGGTCTAAACTCCTCATGCCCATCCCGGGCCCTGCCTGTCTTCCTGAGCCCATGGCCTTCTGCACAGCTCCAGCCTCCAGGACCACAGCCACAGAGCCCCTTCCACCCTGGAAGATGCCCTTCGTGCCTGTGCTCATGCTCTTCCCGCAGATGAAGTCTTTCTACCTCTTCACTGCCCAGCGACTTAGATCCGTCCAAATGGCACATCCTCTGTGCAGCTCGCCCTGGTTGGAACCAGTGAGTCCTCTTTCTGTGCCTTCGTGTCATGCCGTTTTACCCTTGGTGGTTACAAGCTAAGTGAGGCAGGTCTCATCTTCCCTGCTCCACGTGTAGGTGAAGTAGAGAGAATTTAGGTAACTTTTCAAAGTCACACAATTCCTTTGGGCCTCCTGTTAGTCCCATGCTTTTCCTGGGACTGCAGACTCCTCCTCCTGCATTTATATCGTTCACAAGAGCTTTAGATGTTTTAGAAAATGTGGCGTCAGATGGCTGTCACCTGGTCTGGGATGCTTTAGCCCAGAATGGTCAAATCTTTGAGCAGAAAAAAGGAACAGGGAAGCTCCCCTCTCACTCCTGGCTTGCCAAACCTTGGGCCTTCTTCCTAGAACTTTCTAATAAGTAAACAAAGATTGCTCTTACATGTGGGAATCTGCACAGAGTCAGTGGCTGAGCAGAGCCCTGGCCGCCCTTGGGCCTGCACCCAAATGCTGCTCTTGACCTTCATTCAGGTCTTTTCTCAGCAGATGGCAGTGGAAGCAACCACAGGATCCGAAACCGTGAGGCCTGGGACTTGCTGAGGGCCATGCCCGCTTGACTTCCAGATCTCAGAGAATCAGTCTCTTAACAATGGAGCTGTGATGATGATGAGGATGGTGACCACTGCTTGCAGGTCCCCAAGTCCTAGGACAGGCCCTGCAGTGAGCTACATGCCTTGTGTAGTCTTCTGGCTTCATCCTCCCGACTAGGAGGAGGAGCCACTATGGCAGGCAGACCTGGATCCCGACACAAGCATACTAAGTGCCTGGCGTAGGTCACACAGGGTCACACCCTTGAACCAGGGAATCTGACTCCAGACCTCACCCCGCTTAATGTTTCTGAGCAAATGCTGAGCGGCAGGTGTCCTTCCCTGCAACCTGTCTCCACCTGGGCACAATGAGGAAAGGTAAAGGAAGCCTTTGCTTCGCGGGCCCGTGAGGAGGCGGACACTCCCCAAGCCACTAAAACCAGACACTCCTGACGGATGCCACTCCATACTTTCCGCTCAGTAAACCTGAAAAATCAACTCTCGTCCCTTGACGCTGTCTGGGAATGAACACACCACTGCCTCTGCCCGCAGCCCACAGCATCTAGAGCAGACACTGAACATGGCGCCAAGGGGGCCAATCATGAAACCACAGCCTTTGCCGTCTGATTCCTTCTTCCCAGACTGTTCGACTAACACTGGACCCTGGTCTGGGATACAGAGAGTGGGCAAGGTGGTGTTCTGGGCCACAGGTATTGAAGGAATGGAGGTGGCTTCCCTGGAATGTGCCAGAACTGGCAACTGCTAGGGCCCACTGTGTGGTGACATGCTTGGCTTCATACTACGTTCAAGTCATGTTTGCAGGGTCTGTAGGTGTGTGCTGTACCCTGTCATAGCTGTGAGCAGGTTGGAGATCACCCGAGGACCCTCTTCCTGGAAGACTCGGGGGAGGAGAGGAACAGATATCCTGAGATGGGGGCACACTTGGGGCACAGGACCCTTAAGGCAGCGGCAGCTCAGGAGACTCTCCGGGGGGCTTCTGGGGCCAGCATGCTGGACATCATCACTGCTGAGGGGCTCATGGGTGATTGCTACTCAGCGAATGTTTACTGAGCACCTATAATATATGGCCCAGCATGGGGGAATGCAGCTGAAAACTAAAGAGGGGCACCTCCTGTCCTCCCAGCAGCCTTTCCCTGCCATAATATCCATGCTGTGCCCTGTCGGTGCCTCTGCAGCCCCCAGGTCCCCCCCTTTCCTGCCATCTCTCACCCACACTCCTGCTGTGACCTGTTCCAGTGGCCCTTTGCTCCAAACACTCCACCCCTCATCTCTGGCTGCTTGTGCCCAGGAAACATCTGTTCTTTTACAAAATACATAGCATCAGTCCTACTGCCTCTCCCTTCGTCGCTTGGGTGGGGACTTGGGTCCCTGCACGTGGAGAAGAGTGATGCCAAGGCTTTGCAGATACTGCCACCTGGTGGTCAGGACAAGAGTGGTAGCGAGGACCAAGTTCCAAATCTATTCTGTGCCATGACTTGCAACAGAGTTCATGCAAATAAGGGGAGCAGAGGGGACCTGGGAGTGACAACTGATAGACACAGAAGACGCCAGAGAGCAAACACTCTGCCCTCCCCAGGCTGGAAGGGTCTTCTGAGAAGTGCCTTAATGTTCTGTTTTTAATCTAATTCACTACATTGGGTGTCCACGCCCTAGGGGTTCAACAGAGGCCACCACTGTGATGCAGATCTCCTCTCCCTGCCCAAATATCGAAGAAGAGGGCAGACTAGGGATGGAGCCAGAGGGGCTGTTGAGATCCCAGGGCAGACACAAGTGGTCAGGGGAGGCGGGATTGAAAGTTGAGGGAGAAAGGGGGGATCACTTCAGGTGCCCCAGTAGTGACCAGCTCCCTGGATGGAGCCAGAGGCCCTTCTGGCTGGTCCCCTGTGCCGACGGCTCAACAGCACATCCGGAGGAGCCTTCCTCTGCGGGGGCCTGTTCAGTTAGCAAGTATTTGCAAAGCAAGTGCCTTCCGCACACTGGAACCTGGCACTCAAGGTAGGCGGTCAGGACGCCCACGCAGGTGCAGGGCTGGGTCGGGGTGTGTGGGGGGGTCAAGGGTACAGCCTCTGCAGCCTGGGTCCTTAATTTTCCAGAATAAAACAATTACACAAGACTTGGAAGCTGTTCCTGGCAGAGACAGCTACCAGAGGAGCTGCCTTGGGTCAGAGAATCAGAGCCCGAAATGTGGGCTGCAGGGCCCCCCCATGGCAGCTGGGAACCCTGTGAGGATCCAGGGAAAGGACACCCCAGATACTGAGCCTTCCAGGGGCCAAGAACACAGGACAGAGAACCCGGTGAGGGTGGGCGAGGCCGGTGGGAAAGCCCGTGCTGCTCCTGGGCCATGGGCTTCACCATGATAGACACCGTAGCTCCGACAGCCTGGCGCCTGCCAGGCTCTGCCTTCCACCGGGAGCTCCAGGACCCCAGAGCTCGCTTTATGCTGCAGCCTGAGGGGTCCAACTGGACAGCCAGCCCTGTGGGCTGCCCCCCCCCGCGGGCATCTGGCTGATTCTCCCTGGGAGGGGGGAGGAGGGCTGAGGGTCCCTCTGCCCCTTGGTGTCTCCACAGCTCAGGGGACAAGTGCAGGACTGATACTTCTGCTGGTATTGGGGCCTGTAGCTTGACCCCAGGTGTCTGGAGTAACTGGTCCTATTCTGATTCCACAGCTTTTGAGTCCAGGAGCCGACTGGCTTGGCCGGGAGAGGGTGATAGCTGAAGTCCGTTTTGGTGCCAGGCCAAAGTACTCAAGGTGCCACCTTGTGGCTGCCAGGGACTGGCAAGGGGGCATCTCCCCAAATGTCCCGTGCACTTCCGCGCTGAAGTACTCCAGCCGCACTCCAGCCGTCATGGTCATTCATCAGCCCCAGCGTCTGAAACTGGCTCCGCATTCCTGGTGTTTGAGTGTCTTCTGTGTCCACGTGGGAGGTCACTGCTGATCACTCTGTCGTGCATCCTCACCCTGTGGGTAAGGGGCCTCGATTTATACCCGTGGGGCCTGAGGGAGCTGCCCTGACCCCCTGGACATACCAGACATATATCAACACACCAATCATGCACCAGGCCTGTGAGGGCTGTTTTCTTAGCTCATGTTGCAGCAGAACCAGAGGGGCTGCTGGCCAGGCCAGGGATCCATTCACAAGTACTCTAGGGGCAAGAGGCAAGGAGGGCCTGGCTACGGCACCATGGCTGGACAGCAGATGCTTCACCCTCCTCTCCTCATGAATCCAGCCACTGTCTGCTGCTGCAGGCGCTCCACTCAGGAAGGGTGATGGCACTGTGGGGACAGCAGCCACAGGTGTCCACACCTGAGAAACCATCACAGCCTGGATGGCTCTGGGGGTCCCTTCTGCAGCAAAGATTTATGTTATCTGTTCAGACTCTGACGTCTTATCATTCAACCTACTTGGAATTTGTAGTTCAGACATTTGTGCCCACAAAACACTCTCTTCATAAAGAGCACGGTCTAAGTAAGAGACCAGCCAAGAAGGCACCTGGGTTTTGATGGCTCCTTTCCCTCCCTCCCCCTGCCTCTTCCATCCTGCCTTTTCATCCAAGACCCAGAAGGTCAACTACTTGTACCCCCCCATGCCTACTCTGCAGACCCCTCAGCTTCGTCTCCCCCAGCTACCCCTAGTCGCTGGACCCGTGTCGGAGGACACGGGAACTGTCTCTAGGGCATCAATGTATATGCCACTTGGGACTCTGGTTGGCGAAGCCTTCTCATCCTCAATCAGGTAGTGTTGACACGAGCAGGTCCCCAGCAGGGAGAGTTGGCCTGGTCTGAGTTTTCCAATAGGGTTGCTCTTGCCCCATCTCCCAGAGCATCTAGAAACCCCTATTCCGGATGGAATGGGATGGTCTTGGAATTTTACGAAAATGCCGTGGACAGTCTCTGAGAGCAGTCTGAACCCGTTGACTACTGCCCCCTCATGGCCACACCCATACCCCACAGGCCATCTGCTGCATCGCTTCGCCCTCGGGAGCTAGAATGCAACCCCAACACTGGAGGGCGACTCTGAGGGCTGGCTAGCACACTAGCAGGCCTCAGGGAGGGGGCAGAGAGGGAACAAATGTAGGAGCCCACTGCAGGGGGTGGGAGGCGACTCAACACCTCTCCTCTAAGCGGGGAAAGATGTATATGCTCCTTCACCTTGGAGAGGGTCTACAGATTTGAAATGTGAGTGAGTGGCAGGGGAAGAAAGGAACCTTGAGTGAGGAGAGGGTGTCCCTGGTCCCAGTGTTATCATCCCCCAGGTCCTGATTATCTCAAGCCAGCAGGTTGGTAGCATCCCTGAGAGCATTCACTAGAGAAATCCTTCTTACCAGACATGGCAAAGAAGAATCATTCTGGAAGCTGCTTTGGAAGTTAGGCAAGCGGTGTGCCAGAAACAGCTGAGAACTGAACTCTCCCCTCTGCTCTTTCCCCAACCCCGGGGGACCCAAGTAGAGGTAACTGCCAAGATCCCCACCCACTCCCAGGAATGAGACACAGTCCACTGGTCCACACCCAGCTGCTGTAGTGTAGCTTGGTTTTATTTATGTCCACAAATATTTCAAAAAAATTACAAAATACTCAAATGGAGAGAACACAGAAGTCACGATTTCTGGGTGTCTACTCTGTTTACACTGTGTTATCTCATGGCAAACTACTCATATATACATTTAGCTTCAAGATATATATAAACGTAGCAAATCAGAATGTACACTCTGCTCTGCTGCTGCAGTGAAATGTGAAGCTCAATCTTGACAACATTCAACAAGATACGTACAAAACACAGAAAAGCAAAACCAAACTTCAAACAAAAGGAAGGAAAATCCAAAAGGAAACCAAGGGGTCGGGCTTCAAAGACACTGTGAAGGTCTGGGGCCTCCTAAACACACCGTAGCTGACCAGTGAGGGTTTCAGGTCTTAGGTTCTTAAATGGAAGAATCTCAGTGCTTCACCTTGGGATATGGGGGAAAACCAAAACGTTAACGAGCAAACACCTTCAGACAGTCTTCAAGTAGAGACTTCCAAGTACTTCACTATGTCTCTTCTTTGGAAAAATGGATACAGAGAGAAGCGATCAAGAAGGTCTAACTGAATGGCAGACACTGTGTTCCACCCAAAGGAAAACAAAGATGCAGAGGAGGGGGCCTCGGGTAGGAGGGCCGCCTGCCTCCAGGGGAGGCAAGTGCCTCCTGCCCTTGAGGCCTGGCCCGAGTCTGGACACACAGCTCCTTTGAGTTTGCCTTCCTCTAAGGAGCTAGAGTTAAGGCAGAAATGGAACGGGAGAAAATTAAAGAGAAAAACGACAAACATATCCAGAGGATTCCCAGCAGACAAAACAATCCTGTCTGTCCCAACTGAAAACAAACATAGTTTTAATAGAAATGGAAATACCCCTGATGCAGGTGTGAGTCCAGAACCTGAATCTGAGCTAATGCCTGCTGGCTTCTGGCTCAATGTGCCGGCCTCTGGTCCTGGCCGCACTGCCGCACCCACTGACCCTCGGGCGTTCTGCCTCATGTTGTAGCAGCTCTCAGATGGGACTTACAACAGCAGGGGTGGCCCTCAAGAGTCTGACGGGGGAGGAGCAGGAAAGATCACATCCTGACAGGAGGACTGATCTCCAGGTGCACACATCCCCAGGTCCCCCCTATCCCTCCACCCTGGAGAAAGCACACCATGCCCGTGGCTTAGAAAGGAGAGGTGGGTCTTCTGCAGAATGGCCAGAGCCCTAGAGTGGCAGCTCCCAGGTGGAAGGAAGCTTGCCTTCTCATCCCACGTCGGCAGCTGCAACTCTCATTCCTACACCCAGAAGGAACAGTGGGGACTTAAATGGCATCCCTGTCTGATGTGGGTCACCATGCACGGACCTGTTCCTGGGGGAGATGCACAGGCCACCACCCACAACCATGCCAACTCCTGGGCCTCCCTCGCTCGAAAGTGGCTTCCAGCTATGTGGCCAGGATGGCCTGGCCTCCCCACAGGAAGATCCCGACGATAACACACACAAAAGGGCAGGTTTTTTTGTTTTTGTTTTTTTTTTTTTTAAACAGATTCCTTTCGCAAGTGTGTGTGCTGTGAATTTTTTTGTAGGGAATCATGTTTTCTTGAATTTTCTAGAATGTTTATGAAATCATAAGAGTACTTAAAAAGGCAGTTCATCCAGAACAACCAAATGTGTGTGCATAGAAATCTGTAAGGAAATCTACAATCAGACACACAGAAACATGTGCTTTCTATCCTGCAGAAACAGAACAAGGTGGACATTTAACTCTTGCACTCCTGGTACAAAATAAAAAAGGTCTCATGTAACAGATATCTGGACCTCTGGCAAAGCACAAGCTAGGAAGAGACAGAAGTGAAAATCAAGGCAGCAAATCAAAGAAATGGTCTGTAACATTGTCCCTGCAGACCCCTGGATGCTCACTGCTGCGACCACACCGTGTCCCAAGCCTCTGCCCGTTTGCAATTAGTAACGCCCATCTGTTCCCTTTAATTAAAGGGATAATTATATATAACTTTTTATTAAAAAATCAACTCTGTATTCTGTCAATAGCTGGTAGGAATTCACAATTAGTGACATGGCTGGAAAAAATAGATCAGAATAGTTTGTGGAAGAAAAAAAATGCCATTCTAAAATTATTTATTTACAGACGTAAAAAGCCATGCTGCAGAACTTTCTCAAATTATGAAGATCTCCTACAATGTATTAAAATAAAAGTTTTTTTTTTTTTTTAAAAATTATAGCTCTTGGATTCCAAACTCATATGCCACCTATCTGCAAACCTCGTGGGTTCTGGAACACACATAACTGAGTGTGTCTGCACGCACAGTGAAGGGTGTGAACTGGATTCTAGCACCTACCAAGAAATCAAGGAAGGAAAAGAAAACTAAAGCCAAACCCCAAGATTGCAGGGAAAGTTTTCTGAATGTTCAGTCCAGTCCAGGACTAAGTTTCTGGGGGACTGTCATGCAGGGAGACCCAAACCAGTCTCAAGGAATCCTCTCTACAAACAAACACTATTATGCTGATAACATTTTTAGTTGAGGGGTTTTTAAATATATAAAGAAATCTTTAGAAGATATTCTCTTTCTTTTGTAGCTCATATCGTATGTAAAAAGTCCTGTTTCTCCCCCCAAGAACTGGGGTTTCCACAGCCAGCACTAACAAATAAATAACTTATAACTGCTTGTCACCTTCTTTCTTCAGTCGACTAGAAAGAAAACAAAAGGAGAAAGTATTCAGCACCAGACCTGGGCAGGTGGGACCAGGCATGCAGCTCAAGGGTGCAGATGACCAGAGTGGCCTCCCATGCAGGTGACCCTCCCCTCCTCTCCCTCCCACCAATATGGCTCTGTGGGAGAATCCTACAGTGCCAAGAGGTCAGGGCCTGTAGAGCCATAGTGAGGAATCTGGCACTTGCTGATATGGGAGGAGCACTGTGGGCATGGCTAGGAGGGGAGACCAATAGGCAGGGTTAGTGGCCCACAGGTGGGGTCAGACAGCGAGCCCACTCCCTTCTGGACTCTCCCCACCTCACCTGTAATAATCTTCCTGACTTGGTAGGTGGCCACCATGCATGTGGGGGTGTCCATGCAGCCATTGCTGTTCCATGGCCAGTCTCTGCAGCTCTGCCGACTGGGCATGCATGGCCTGCAGCTGGTGGGCTGCAGACATGGGGGGTGGGATGGCCCCGGGCAGGTCTCGGGGGTAGGGAGTACCTGCCAAACACAAAAAAGCCTTCGATACAGAAAGGCCAGGGAGTGGCCAGGATGAGGCCGGCTCCTAAGAGGTCAGGTCAGGAGATAACCTTCTGAGGGGAGGAGCAAGAGACTACTTACTCTGTAGGGACCCATGGAGCAGAGCCCCCCAGGAGAGAGAGAAGGCCCAACGTACTGCCCCGTGGATCTCCTGAGCCTGGGGTGGAGGTCAGGGGAAGATAGAATATGCATTCCCTCATCCTCAGGCTCTTCTTCACGGAGGCCCACCCTGAACCCTCAGTGTAAATTCACTGCCTCTGTCACTCCTTCATATCTCATTGTCTTGATCCTGCTCTTATTAGGCATTCAGACCCATCCAGCCCCAGCTCTCTGAGGGCAAGGGTTTGCCTCCCTTGCTCCCAAGTGGACTCCTGGCATACAGGAGGTATTTGCTGAACACATGGATGAATGAACGAATGAACAGACATCAGATACCAAACCCAACTCTCACACTGGAACCCTCCGTCCCCAGGTGTATGCTTACCAAAAACTGGATGACGAAGCATCTCGTGCTCATGGGGGGGCTGTCCAAGCAGAGGGTTGGGGAGGGTGCCAGGGGGATAGGGAAAGCGAGCCAGGTGAGGGCCGGCGGTCAGAGGGTCGACCAGCGGGTGCACTGGGCCTGCTGAACCTAAGAGAGGGGCAGAAGTCCAGATGCAAGTGGTGCAGAGCTCTGGGGCTTTCTGCGTCTGCCCTTGTTGGCCGTTAACTACCAGTGACTTCCTCACCACAGCCAGCTCCTGGCCACCAGGGCCACCAAAAATCCTGACCCCAAGTGGCTGCCCCCACTCCAACCTATAGTAAAGTTCCAGAAAGTAACAGAGAGATAAATGTACATGCTATTTCCTCCTCTCGTTCCTGAGTACCCCTATAGGCAGCATCTTCCCTATGCTGTTTTGTTGATGATGCTTGATCATTAGAACCTACCTGGCCAAATCCCTAGACCTTAGGCCTGCCCTGTACCTGTCAGCTCCAGAAGGACCCTGGGGCCACTCCAGTCCTGCCATAGACAGTGACCCTCAACCCAGTTGCTGGCTGGATTGGCAATGCTCCCCAGAGCTGCTTCCCTGGCCCTTCACCCACAGAACCCACAGGAGGGGTTCAGCAGATTGGGTGATGCCAGATGCTGCATGCTGTTGGCAGGGTGCCACTGGCAGGGACAAGGCTTACCAAACCCTGCTCTCTCCTCTCAGCCCCTGTGCCCCAGCCACCTTCCCTCCCTGCACATGTCTCTTCCCACCTTCAAGCCTGCTCCAAAGTTACCTTCTTGATGAGGCTTTCTCATGGCTTTCTAACTGCAACCTTGTGCCCAGCTCCCCTGTTCCCTTTCCCTTGCTAGCTGTCCTCCAGAACACTGACTGCTTTGCTCTCTCCAAGACACACCGGACACACCGACTTCCTGCCTCCAGATTGGGAAGGTGGACAGGGCTGTTGTCATCATCTACTGCTGTGCCTGACACATCACAGATGCTCCGTAACTATTTGTCAAATGGACGAATGTTGTATGAACGAATAACTGCCTGTCCCCATACAGCATTAAGACATTAAGCATTAAGACACATCCACTGGTTACACTGGGGCTTAGACAGCCCGTGCTGGGTGGCATCAAAGCTCCAGGTGTCAAGAGCATGGGTGAAAGTGACAGCTCCTTGGCTTCCCCAGAACCAACCGCCTGTATAGAGTCCAGGCTCCCCACATCAGGGTTGGGGGCACAGGCAGGGAACCAGATGCTGCCTTCCCCACTTCTGGGCCCTGCTCTGTCCCCCTCCTTCCCTGCATGGAGAGAGGTTTGCCCTCAGAAGTCCTGCATGCAGCATGGGCTGTGCCACGGGGCTCCACGGCAGGCCTGGGTCCCAGGGTGCAGGTACAGCTCCTCCCACCCTATCTAGCAGGGTTACAGAGCTACAGACAGAGGAGAAACTGTGTCTGTGTCTGCCTTCAGCCTGGTTGGCCAGTCACCAGGGCTGCAGGAGCTCCCATTCTTGGAGTGGACAGGCCAGGGTGGTCCTGTTCCCCAATGGGAATGGGAGGACTGTTGGTTTCTATCACTGGGAGATGCTCTAGAGCCTCCTGGGTGTCCCACTAGCCTCCATTGGGTTCCTTGCCCCTCAGGCCCCACCTTCCGCCTTTAACCCAATTCAGTTAGCACAGGCTGCTTCCCACCATCCCCAGCACTGGAGGCACAGGGCCAGGAACATAAGCTTCATCCAGCAAACTGCGAGCAGAGGGCCCGAGGGTGACTCAGCATTCTGGGGACTGGCAGCTCTGGAGGACTGGGGGGCTGGGCAAAGACAGAGGCAGCGGTGAGTAAAGAAGTGAGAAGATTTCCAGACAGATGTAGACTATTCTCAGATCAAGGATGAGGGATTCCTTTAGGAAAGAACCATCTCTGCTATTGGATAGTGGCTCTGTCTCTGGCCTGCACCTCATCATAACCAGAGCTCAACCCACAGTGCCCTCTCATAGCCCAGCCTGGAGGGCGGGCACCCACCTTGGTGGAGGGGGTCCTGCTGGTGGAGGTGGAGGTGCGAGTGGATGTGTGAGTGCTGGTGATGGTGCGGAGTCACGTTGAACATCTGCAGGCGGGCCAGAGGGTCGCTGGTCAGCGATGCCATGCGCTCAGCGTGGATCCGCTCGGCCGCCAGTCTATCAGGGTAGCTCATCTCAGGCCGCAGCTGGGGGCCCGCCAAGGCCAGTCTCTCCCTCTCCAGGGGGTTCAGGCCCGGGTGGAAAGAAGCAAAAGGGTGGGGGCCCGCAGTGGGGGGAATGGTGAGGGCGCTGTGCCGGGCGAAGTGCTCCATGGGGTTGGTGGCTGGGTGCAGAGGGTCCAGCTCTGGGGGCTTCACCTCGAAGCCTGGCTTCATCCTCTCCCGTAGCTCCCGCTCCCGGATCTCCCGCTCCCGGATCTCCCGCTCCCGGAGCTCCCGCTCACGGATGGTGGGGTCCACGTTGTAGAGGCCAGGCATGTGGTAGGCCAGCAGGGGATCAGTGGGGTTGAGGGGCATGTAGAAGGGGTGGTTGCGGTTAGTGGGTGACATGACGTGGGGCCGAGCGTACTCGCTCAGAGTCCGAAGGGCAGGTGTGTCGGGCCCGATGTATGGAGGCACCGCAGCAATGGTGGTTGGTGGCGGCTCGAAGGATGGCCGCATGTGCCCAGGACCACTGAGCTGGGGGTCGCTGAGGCGGCCCTCATGGGTTGAGCTGGACGCCTTCTGCTGAAGGAAAGGAAGATGTGAGGGGCATATTCCCAGCTGTCCAGGGGTCTGAGCCTGGCCCTGCTGCCATCCTGCACTGACCAGCAGGAGGACCAGTTGATCCCTCCACCTTGACACCAAGAACAGGCCCCAACCATGGTCTGGGACAGGCTTAGACTGCAAGGACCGGTCCAGACCCTGCTAGGACAGTCTGTTCTGTGCCTATGGCTTCCCCTGTGCCCTAGATAGGGCCGTGTATCTGAGAGACAAAAAGAACACCCACAAGCGTGTGAGTGTGTATCTGAGAGAGTAAGCCACAGTACAGAGCTATAGAGGGACCACCCCCCCGCCCCGCCGTGGCCTGGTTGACCCCCAACTCACAGCTGCTCTCTCTGCCTCCCGCTCCCGCTCTCGTTCCCGCTCGCGCTCTTTCTCCTTCTCCTTCTCACGTTCCCGTTCCTCTCGTGCTTTCTGCTCAGCCTCCCGTTTGGCCTTTTCGATGGCCTCCTCCCTCTTCTTGGCCAGTTTGGATCCCGCCAGAGGCATGAAATACAGGTCCGTCCGCGCACATGAGTTGTAACCACGGTCCAGGTGTTTGTAGAACCTAAGGAAGGCCACATCTCTCACTGGGGCCCTGCCAGGACTGCAGCCTGCCCCTGATGCCCAGCCTGTCCCTGCCCTGGCCATGTCCACATTCCTGGGAAGCCAGTACCTGGCTGACTGGCTGGCATGGCTGGGGGTATCCACCACGGTAGGCTCGGGGGACGGGCTCCTAGGTGGTGGAGGTGGGCTCTCGGGCTCCTCTGCATCATCCAGAGCCTCTTCCTTGATCTGGACAGTGGGGAGCGGGCAGGCTGTCCCCCCGGGTATGCTGCCTCCCGAAGAAACAGCAGCAGAGCACGGAGGCTGGGCTGAGGGGCCGGGTCCCGCAGGTGGCGTGGAGGTGGAAGAGCAGGTTGGAGGGGTGATGGGTGTCCCCCCAGGGACAAAGGGGTGCTGAGCAAATGAGGGCTGGGGGGGCACTTGGTGGAGGCCTGCTGGGGGGTGAGCAGCAGCAGCAGGCGGCAGGCTCTGGCTCTGGGTCAGCACTGGGGGCTGTGCAGGGGAGGAGGGCAGGGGCTGGCTCTGAGGCATGAGCTGTAGGGGAGGGGGATGGGCAGAAGGGGGATGGTGTGTGGACAGGGAGCTCAGGGGTTTCAGTGCTGGAGGGGGTGGGAGGTTGGCGTTCATGGAGAAGGGCGAGGGCCCTGAGAGATGAGGTGGGTGCTTGTGGGCTTGCGGGGCCGGCAGCTGGGGGATGGGCGTGGTGGGTGGGGGCTTGATGTGAGGCATGGCCAAGGGGGCTGGTGGCAGCGGCTGCTCCCTTGGGGGCTGCTGGGGCTGCAGTGCTGACTGTGAGGCTGTGGGCTGCAGGGAGGCATGAGGGAGAGCTGATGCCTGAGAGGCCTGGGGAGGGAGGCCAAAGGGCTGAGGGGGGCCTGGGTGCTGTAGCAGGGGCCCAGCCTGGAGGCTATGAGGGCCACTTGGGCCCTGGCTATGCAGCGGGGGCTGGCTGTGAGGTGGGCCGGAGGTCTGTCCAGCTGGCACGGTCAGAGGTTGGAGTGGGGGATGTGGTGAGGGCAGCCTCTGGGGGTGCAGGGTGGGTGCCTGCTGGATATGGGCGTGGGGAGCAGGAGCCGCTGGAGCCTGTGGCTGGCTTGGGGGCTGGGAGGCTGAGGGGGAGCCCTGTGGGGGGCCTGCAGTGGCAGAGGGTGTGGGCCCTGGCGTGGGGAGCTGAGAGGTTCCTGGTGGGGCGGTGGAGGGAGCCGGAGGGACCGCACTGGAAGCCTGCAAGGCTGGGGGCTGAGCCTGCAGCATCTGCTGCTGGGCCGAAGAGTCCGAGTCACTCTCGTTGTCCTGGGGGCTGGGGATGCTTGGGGATGTGCTGCGATTGTCCTGGTCAATGTCTTTGGGGTCGCTGCTGCCCTCATCGTTGACACTGCGGCTGTCCGAACTCTCTCCCTCGCCTTCCGATGGGGAGTTGGGCCGGCTGATCTCCTAGGGCCAGAGATGGGAGGGATAAAGCTCTAGCAGAGCAGGGGCTCTGGCTGCCCTGCGCTGCTAGCACCTGACACACGACAAAGGTCTGTGCAAATGAGGCATGAGCCTGGCCCCAGGGAATGCAGATACTCCTTTGACCCTCCTCTGACTCTAGCCACTCCAAGTCCCTCCAGACTGCTGGGCCCCAGAGAGAATCTGGGCTCAGGGCCTCTCAAGGAGCATTAGCTGCCAGCTCCAGTCACAGTGGCTCAGCTGCGCATCTCACCTGGGTTTTTGTCTTCTTGGAGCTGGTCCTGTCAGCCTCCTCTGTATCAGAGGCCACCTTCTCCCGTTGGCGTTTGGTGCTCTTAAGGGGGGATGAGGCTTCCTCCTTCACCTTCTGCAGTGGAAAAGCCCACAAGGGGCATCAGGCCAAGGGAGGGTGTTCCGTTAGCCTCAGGGGGTAAATGATGATGGTTTGCTAACACCTTACTCCTGAATTCTGAGCTCCATCTCCAGAAGCAAGAAAGCTCTGGAAGGGACCAGCTGATGCCAGGAAAAAACAAGTATCTGGAGGTGGAAATAACGTTGCTTTGTGGGGAGCCTTCCCAATCACACCCTAACCTTTGCCCCCGAGCCCTTGGGAAACTCAAGGCAGAGATGGCCCCCAAAGGTCAGTGCTGGAAGCTGCACTGGATCCCCTCTCTCCAGGCCACACTCTGCAGGCCTAGTCCAGGGCAACACTAATACCCAGGGAGGCTCACAGGAATAACGTGCAGCCCTGTGTGTGAGGGAGGTGAACATCAAGTCCACAAACCTGGGGTTTTGAGAGGGCAGGGCAAAGCAGGCCTCACTGCTTTGGGGGATGGGCACCTCACCTTGGCTGACTTCTTCACTGTCTCTGCTTTACTGTCATTGCTGGAGGTGCTGGCAGCACTGGGCGAGTTCCGGCCACTAGAGCGGATGTCTTCATTGATGGGCGAGGTACGACCATCAGGGCTGGCTGGCTGCTTCTTTCGACCACTGCGCAATGTAGACATCTGCCCACCCAAACCGGATGCTGGTGAGACTAGACCCCACACACACGCAGGAGCCTTAGGAGCAAACCCCACCGCCAGCATTATGGCAAATCCCAGGCCCTGGCCAGCATCAGGCACCTCTGGCTCTTCCTTGCTGTGTGGGAGTCAACATGGAGCTAAGGGAGGAGGGGGTGAATGGGTGGGTTCACATGGAAAAGACAGCAATTCTTAAACTGAAAGCACTCATTTCCAGGGACTGTCTTGGATGTTGTGTGGTAGAAATGAGCGAGACTTTCTGAGGGGCAGAAATCGGCCAGGACCACCTACCTGCGAAGTTCTCTGGAATGACAATCATACACTCTGCTTCAAATCACCTCACCTTTTCTGTTTAAACCACCCACTTCCTCACCCAAACCTAAACCAAATCCCTGCTGATTTCATCTGACAGGATGAGAAGTGACCCAAAGCGAGAAGCTGTCAAATAATATAGCTCAGCTCCTAAAACCACCAAGCACTTAAGCATGTTTCTGCAAAGCCATGGGGCTCAGAAGAGATGGGACAATGATTCACACTGGTCCACCTGCCGGGTGGCCAGGGCACCGACAGCCTTGACAAAATCACAGAAGGGCGTACAGTACCATCCACATGCCTGAAAGGGCCACTGGGGAGGCCAGCTACAGGGAAGGACGTTGGTGGCATCCCTAGCTCCCAGCCTGGGAAAACCCTTGCTCCTAAAGGTCCCTGCTGCCACATTTGCAACCTGGAAAACAAAACCTCTTTATGAAAAGGGCTATACAGTGAGGAGAAAAATTTACCACAAGTTTCCAAAAACACCTGCAAGTTTTAAGCAGCAGAGAGATGCCACAGTACAGGTGGTGGGCCCAGGGGCCAGAGGAAGGTCGGGGGACTTGGAGAGCCTGCACTGAACCAGACACTGGTACTGAAGAGCTCTCTATAAAAGCAAACTCAAAACATGCATCCCACTGACTCCCCGGGACAACATGAGGGAGGGAGAAAGCAAAGGCTCTTCCCAGATGCACAGACAAAACTAAGTATCTTTGGACCAATCATTCCTTTAAGGGGGCTGGTTCTCTACCTAAAATGAATCACTTCCCAGCCTCCTGGAAGGCACAAGCCTTAGCCTCCTAGAAACCTGCAGTGGCCTGGGTCGCCTGTCCTGAGGACTCACCGAGCCACGACTGCGCCGCGTCCTCATGCTATGTTTCCCACTGAGCCCATCGTCTTCCTCTTTGACAGGTTTGAACATGAATGGGGGAGGGTCCACAGGCTTCTCAATGGGGGGGAGCTCGCCGTATTTCTTGAAGTGGATGCGGCAGTCTGTGCAGAGTAGGATGTTCTCCCGGCCCCCGTGGTGCCAGTCTTTGGAGGCTGTGTGAAGGAAGAGGAGTGCAGTTGGGGAGCCCGGCCCTTCTGTGGCCTTGGACAGACACCCATTACTCACTCTGCTGCTGCCTGCTCTCTCCCAGGGTAGGAGAGGATTTCAGGACCACCTACCCCCTCTCCAATCTAACAGTATCCAGGAGGAGTTGGCAACAGGTTTCCCAGAAACACAGGTGCCCCCACTCCACCACACTGACTGTAATTGGGGGAGTGACAAAATATACAGATTTCATGCAACCAATGACACCCTAGCAGGTCTTCAATTGGATTCAGGAAATGTTCAGAACCTGAAAGTGCCTGAGCCTGTCCTGTCCCAGTGAGTGTCCCCACTGCTCCCTCCTCCCCCCATCCCTACTTACTGGTGGTAAAGCAGTGGCGGCAGGCGTACCCCTTCAGTTCCTGCTCGCTGTCCTCACTGTCAAAGTCATCCTCGCTGGCTGAACTCAGGTCCACTGGGCATGGCGGGAACACAACAGGGGTGGGGGAGACACCATCATGCTTGGGCAAGACCAGGGCTACCTGTGACCTGTGGCGCCCCATGCTCTGAGCCACCAGTCAGAATGGCCTGGAAGGCTGAAGTGGAGCGGTGCTCACGAAGGACCACTCTGAATTCCTCAGGGCCAGGGATCAGAATGAAGGACTCGTGTGAGGGGTGGTACCCAAGGGGCTGCCCTACCATATTTTGGGGGACTGACATCACACCTATATCCTGGAGTGGCAAGCACTGATGGGAATGTGAACACGGGGAATGTGTGGGAATTCACAGCTGGGAATGTGAACAGGTGAAGTACATCCCTATGAATTCCCTGACAGATCCAGAAACCCTGAGGAGCTCCCTCTCCACCAAGTCCTACCCATGCTCCACTCTAGCACTAATGGATTATTTCTTGTTTGCACGTGCAACATAAGCAACCCTCAGGCTGAGTGCGCTGAGCTAGGACAGAACCACAAGGCCCACTGCTGTATGCCAGCTTTTAAGGGTTAAGAAGGTATCATATTAGACTGCACATCATGCTGGGATCAAGAAGAGGATCTTGGCAAAGCAGGAGGAAAAAGAAGAAAATGTTAATCTGATCTTACTGCTAACACAAAACCAATGCAATGAGAACTCAAACAGTATATCATCCACTAAGTGGACTTCCTCTGAAGTTACTGATAATACCCCAGGGCAGGGCCAAGACTTACATTTTCATGAAAGTTAAAATGATGCTGAGTTTATTTTAAAAATTTAAATGCATGAATAATTAGCATGTAAAACTCTCCTACCAAATCCCCCAAGTCAAGCTACCTTTGGGTGCAGGCTTTGCACAGATGGATTAACACACACAACATCCCCAACCTGCACAGTGATAAGGATGCCTGTGAGGGCAGGCTCAGAGCTTGGACAATGAGCGTTTGGCTACATGGGAGAAGTCCCTCACTTACGGAATTCACTGGAGGGGGGTCTGGAGGGCGTGCTGACGGGTGTGGATGCAGTGCGAGTCTTGATCCTCCTGAACACGGCCTGCCTGCGGTGCCTACGATGGGCCCTGGAGCTGGCTGCTTCGGGGGTTTTCTTCCAGTAGTAATAGAAGGTGATCAGCTCCCCCTGCAGGAGAGAAGGGCTGATGGTGACGGAAACGCTCAGAGGGGCTTGCTTCTCCTTGTCCCCCCAGCACGTCATCTCACTTCTGCCAGGAGCAGAAGCTGGTTCCTAACAGCAGTGCTAGAGATGAGCACAAAGGGCAGTCATGAGAGGAACAGGGCTTGCTCGAGACATACCCGTGAGCGGCCCACTAACTGGATGAAGGGGCTTGTCTCCTCAGTCCAGCAGAGTAGAATTTTTCTAGATATCAAGAACATTCGTTCATTCCACAAGTATCTGCTGAGCACCCACCATGTGCTACCATGGAAGTACACCAATGAACAATCAAAAAGAAGGAAAATCTGTGTGTGTGCACAGATGTTTTCTTCACAGCATTCACTGAAATCATACAGGTGTGATTAGCCAGACTACTTCAGAAACAAGTAAATGAAACAACTTAGACGGTGGGGAACTGGGGTTAGGAAAAACAGAGACCCCCAAACCCAGGAAAACTGTTCCACAGCCTCTACCCCAATCTCTGAGTGCCCACATTGGGACAAGTTGGTACAGCATCATGAAGGTGAAGACTGGAGCTTGATAGATGAAGATCCTGGGGGACAAACACAGAGGTTCTGATGCAAAGGGGAAGTGCCACAGTTACAAGGCTAGCCTTCACAGGAGAATGAGCTATTCTTTTCATGGCCCAGCAGAAAGGAAAGCAAGAAATCCTCAAAACAAACAAACAAACAAACAACAAGCAAACAAAAATCAGCAAGGGGGGTTATGAGCCCCAGGGAAACTTTTAAAAAGGGGCAATTCTGGGGTGCCTAGGTGGCTCAGTCAGTTGAGCATCTGACTCTTGATTCTGGCTCAGGGTTGTGGGATCCAGCTCTGTGATTGGCTCTGAGCTCAGCAGGGAGTCTGCTTGAGAGTCTCTCCCTATGCATCATTTCTACGTGCACACGTGTGCTCATACATACACACTCTCTCTCTCAAACAAACAAAAAATAAACCCTTAAAAATAAGAAAGAGGCACTTTTGCTACCCTCCCACTCTGGTCCTGGAGCTCAGTAGGCACAGCATACATGCCAACAGGTGAATGACATGTTCAGCTAATTCTGGTTGACCCAAGACAAATTTCTTAAGAAACATCCCAAGATAAAGTTTCTTTACCTGGAATTAAAAAAAAAAAAGGGAGGGGGGAGAGTGCAGAGAAAGCACCTACTTCACATTGATCTTCTCGAACTGAATCAACCTTGTGGACAATCAATTAACATGGCTGAGTACTGTATCCTGGGAAGCCACCCTGTGGGCAACTCGCACCCCAAGGTGGGAGCCACTTGGCCAGAGCACCACACAGCCTCATGAATGGAGGAGCCAAGAGAGAAACAAAGATTTTGTTCTTCAGTGACCTCAGATCTGGCCAGTGCTGGGAAGCTCGAGTGGCCAGTCAGAGGGGTTCCACCAAAACACATGTCAAAAAGCAGTGCCCCCAGAACAAGAAGTGGGTTTGGAGAGAAGTGGACAGATGTTCAGTGGGGAAGTAGCTTCTGCAAAGCAGATGTACTTGTGTGTTGAGTGCTCACTATTCAGAGTTGGATTCTATGCCTATATGTTTTCTAAGAAGGGGGACCACAGCTGTCGTCAGATCCTTAAAGGTACCTATGATTCAAGAGGAGCTTCTGACCAGCTTCCATGAGCCTATAGCATGTATCTCTTGGAACTGTGACTATGTTTCAGTCTTTCCAAGTGCCACTTAAAAAAATGCTAGTGACTGCCAATATTTAACAGATGAAGCATGACTCCAGGCCAAGGAGGCCAGAAGCCAGGCACCAAGAACGAACACATGCAAGTCTGCAAGTTCACCCCCACCCTTTTCAGTTCCATGAGACAGTAACTGAATGGTAAGGGAAAATGTAGGAAATGCCCTTGGATATCTGAGCTGTTTGTCTATCACATGTTATTCTACAGATGTAGGCTACAATTGACCTATAGCCTGCACTTGTGGTGACCGGAGCATCCTGAGCCCCTAGGTCATGATCCAAAAACCTCCTGGCTCCAGCTTCTTTACTTCCTATTTTCCTGACTTGGAAAGTTACTTTTCTGTACTGATCTTTTGGTGTTGGCTGGCTAGAGGGAACAAACTCATAAATCCACTAGGGGATTAAGAGACCTGTGCTGATATAAAACTGATCTGACTCTGGTTTTCCTATGAGAAAATATGGAACAGAAGCCAAGGCAAGTTCACTGTCACCCTTCAATACTTTGTCAGAGTGACATGCTCTATCAGTTCAAAAGGACAACCAGTGCAGTAAATCATGGCCCAATCCCAAAGCTAGAAGGAAAAATGTGAAGCCCCCAAGCGGTACCCTTCCACTGCCTCCTCTAGCTAAAGTCATTTTAGGGGCCAGCAGATGAAGAGGCCTGGGATGTAAGAGGAAACACGAAGCTACAGGTGACAGAAGGAATAAAAAATGGGAGAGAAAATGAGATGGGAAGGTGCTACCAGTGTCTCTGTTCAAACCTCCACCTGATTGGATGGCTGTTAGAAAGCAGCCATCCCATGGGATGCCTAGGTGGTTCAGCGGTTGGGCGTCTGCCTTTGGCTCAGGGCGTGATCCCGGTCCTGGGGACCAAGTCCAACATTGGGCTCCCTGTGGGGAGCCTGCTTCTCCCTCAGCCTGTGTCTCTGCTTCTCTCTCTATGTCTCTCATGAATAAATAAAATCGAAAGAAAAGAAGAAAGAAAAGAAAAGAAAAGAAAAGAAAAGAAAGAAAGAAAAGAAAAGAGGCCACCCTGACATCTCTATGCTGTGTTGGTCTGTGGCACAGTATTGCCTTATGCAGTTACAAGGGACTGGGGATGAGGGGCACTGACACCCTCCACCACTTGCAGTTAAAGATCCAGGTACAACTTCTGACTCCCCTAAAACTTAATCGTCTACTGTCAACCAGAAACCTTATCAATGACATAAATGGTTGATTAACACACATTGTGCGTGTTATATGTATTACTTATGGTACTCTTACAATAAACTAAAGAAAATGTTACTAATAAAATCATAAAGAGGAAAAAAACATATATATACAGTCCTGGGGAAAAAAAAATCTGCTATATTGTAAGTGAACCTGAGCTGTTTTAACCTGTGTTAAGGTCAAATGTATTTCTATTTCCCAAATATGAATGCTTGAGTTTCAAATGGTTTTAAAAGATGGCATAACTCATAGATTAAAACAGGAGAAGCCAGAGTTCAATGAGGCTATGGTACTGGCCCAGTATCAGATACCAGACAGAAAAAGGCTCAGTAAAAAAAGCCCAGGTTCCCAACCTTAACTTCCACTCCTGAACTGAGTATTCCTCAAGAATGTGAGAAAATCAGGACATGACATAGAAACTTAATATTGAAATAAACAGCAACTTTTTGTCAACACTTAAGAAATAATAGCTTTTAGGGTAGTCTGGGTGGCTCAGTTGGTTAAATATCTGCCTTTGGCTCAGGTCATGTTCCCGGGGTCCTGGGATCGAGTCCAATGTTGGGCTTCCTTCTAAGTGGGGAGTCTGTTTCTCCCTCTCCCTCTGTCCCTGCCCCCCACCAACTCCTGTGTGTATGTGCTCTCTCAAATAAACAAATAAAATCCTAAAAAAAAAAAAAAAAAAAGAGACAAATAGTAGCTTTTAAACAAGGAAAAGGAACCTAGAACAGATTCTATTGTCTGAGTACCAAGAATCAAACAACCAAGCCAGAAGGAGTCTCCACTAGAAGTCTATAAATTAGTTCAGAAAATCAAAATATAAATTTCAGATTTCAGGAAGATAGGGTAGGGACTAGAACTCTCGTACACTGCCAGTGGGAATATAAAATGGTTCAACTAACTTTGTAAAACTTTGGCAGTTCTTACAAAGCTAAACAAACATTTACTGTATGACCCAACAATTGATCCCACTCCTAGGTGTTTACTCAAAAGAAATAAGAACATATGCTCCTGCAAAGACTTTTACAGATGCTCAAAGAAACTTTACTCTTCATAGCCAAAAGCTGGAAACAATCCAAACTCCCTTCAACAGGAGAAGGGATAAGTATTACTGCGCACCCATTTACTAGATACTACGTGGCAATAAAAAGGCACAAGCTACTGATCGACTTGACAACATGGATGAATCTCAAAACATCACATTGAACGTGAGTAGCCAGATAAAAAGAGTACAGATAGTATGATTCTATTCTAGAAAAGGCAAGTCTATAATCACAAAAAGTAAATGAGTGATTGTCTAGTCTGGAAGACAAGGAAGTAGAGAACTACCTATGAAAGAACATGAGGAAACCTTTGGGGTGAAGGGAATATCTTATGAATCGACTGTGGTGTTGTTTGCATGGAGGTACAGTTGTCAAACTTACGGAGCTGTGCCCTCGCTGCACTTACAGAGGGTGTACCTTTACGGTATAAATGGTACACATGCCAATTACACATCAATGAGGTTGACTTAAAAAAAAAAATCCAGGCCAGGTTTTATTAGCTGCCTCTCAACCACTGTCTATGGAGGGATTAAACACTGGAATGGTGCGAATCTAGGAGGATTAGAAACAGCATACTGGTAACTGCATGGGTGGCTAGGTCTTGAGCGCAAACAAAAGAACATGTCGGGAAAAGCTTTGGTTCTACAAATAGGCAATGAGGCAGCCAGCGGCCTCACCAGGAATAAAGTCAATTGAACTTTAATCAAACATGCATAGTGTGTGCTGCAGAGACCCGCTGCACATAAATTCAGGGAACAAAAGCTGTTGCAGAAATCAATAGCTTGCTGAAACATTAACACAGGCAATCATTGATCAAAAGGCAGCTCCACAAAGGCAGCCTTGCAAATTAGCTCCTGCTTCTGCTTGCAAGCACACACAGAGGCATCGCTGTGGACATGAATGGTCGGAGCCGATCGTTTTGTTCCCGGTGCTCTCACCCACCTCACAACAAGGCCTCCCAGTCAGTGTACCTCACATCTCTGTGCTGTAATTGCACACAGCACGAGCA